AACGAAGCAAAATGTAGATCATCTGGGGAGCGATATTTTTTTCCTAGGATGGTAGGGGAAGACTCATAAATGGTATTAACCCCAGTGACGGGTAGGTTTAGGGACGGGGTTGGGGTAGGTCATATATTTATATATACAGTAATGTAACGTTAAGTCAACGTTGATAAACACGCTGAAAAGCGATTATGCGTGTTGATAGCACGCCAAAACTGGAAATACGAATTGGCGTGTCATACATACACCATTTCATATCAAAAGTCACTGGTCACAGATTAGGCATTCGATTTAACACAGTTACTTGTTGTGGCATTACTGTCAGGTCCATATCTTACAGTAAAAGACCGTTTTTAAAACCTGCGCCAAAATTACAAATGATTTACCAAACAAACCACAGTGAAATGTACCGAACCAACAAACATGCTCTACTGAGACATTTGCATAATTGAAAATAAATAACCACTTTCCAGTACCTTGATCCTGTAGGCCTATCGTTCGTCTCATCTCACTAATGCGCCAGTGGGTAGAGCCGTAGAGCCAAAGATGTGATGATGTAGAAGTAGGTTTTGAGTTCTGAAACTTACTTGATGTTCCACAGTATAATGACCTCTTACATGTCAAAAGATCAAGGATATTTTGATTTCTCAAATCATGACCCCTTTAAAATTTTGTTATTAAACACTATAATTAGTTTGAAGTTTGATGCACAAGCTGAGGATGTAATATACACTCACCTAAAGGATTATTAGGAACATCATAATAGTGTGTTTGACCCCCTTTCGCCTTCAGAACTGCCTTAATTCTACGTGGCATTGATTCAACAAGGTGCTGAAAGCATTCTTTAGAAATGTTGGCCCATATTGACAGGATAGCATCTTGCAGTTGATAGAGATTTGTGGGATGCACATCCAGGGCACGAAGCTCCCGTTCCACCACATCCCAAAGATGCTCTATTGGGTTGAGATCTGGTGACTGTGGGGGCCATTTTAGTACAGTGAACTCATTGTCATGTTCAAGAAACCAATTTGAAATGATTCGAGCTTTGTGACATGGTGCATTATCCTGCTGGAAGTAGCCATCAGAGGATGGGTACATGGTGGCCATAAAGGGATGGACATGGTCAGAAACAATGCTCAGGTAGGCCGTGGCATTTAAACGATGCCCAATTGGCACTAAGGGGCCTAAAGTGTGCCAAGAAAACATCCCCCACACCATTACACCACCACCACCAGCCTGCACAGTGGTAACACGGCATGATGGATCCATGTTCTCATTCTGTTTACGCCAAATTCTGACTCTACCATCTAAATGTCTCAACAGAAATCGAGACTCATCAGACCAGGCAACACATTTTTCCAGTCTTCAACTGTCCAATTTTGGTGAGCTCTTGCAAATTGTAGCCTCTTTTTCCTATTTGTAGTGGAGATGAGTGGTACCCGGTGGGGTCTTCTGCTGTTGTAGCCCATCCGCCTCAAGGTTGTGCGTGTTGTGGCTTCACAAATGCTTTGCTGCATACCTCGGTTGTAACGAGTAGTTATTTCAGTCAAAGTTGCTCTTCTATCAGCTTGAATCAGTCGGCCCATTCTCCTCTGACCTCTAGCATCAACAAGGCATTTTCGCCCACAGGACTGCCGCATACTGGATGTTTTTGCCTTTTCACACCATTCTTTGTAAACCCTAGAAATGGTTGTGCATGAAAATCCCAGTAACTGAGCAGATTGTGAAATACTCAGACCGGCCCGTCTGGCACCAACAACCATGCCACGCTCAAAGTTGCTTAAATCACCTTTCTTTCCCATTCTGACATTCAGTTTGGAGTTCAGGAGATTGTCTTGACCAGGACCACACCCCTAAATGCATTGACCACACTGCCATGTGATTGGTTGATTAGATAATTGCATTAATGAGAAATTGAACAGGTGTTCCTAATAATCCTTTAGGTGAGTGTACATTATATACTGATGTAATATACATTATGCAATATATATTATATCAGACTATCTGTGTACTATATTATATATAATTGGATTGACTGTGGGTTACAATACAAGTATAATATAGCCAAGTGCACAAATAGAGACAGACAGACAGACTAAATCACCTCTGGTTAATTTCAACAATAGAGGCACTGTCTTCTTGAGAAGAAAGACTTAAATACTCAGAAATAAGAAAGAAGTTGAACACTTTGAAATATTACCGTTAAGAATTTATCACAACACAAATAATGCACTACCAATAATGTCCAATAGATGGAATAAGAAGCACAGACATGGCCTAGAAGCATCTTAAAAGTGTTAGAGGGCCGAGAAGTGTTGCTATCTTCGCAGAATCGCAGTATAGTCTGCATTCATTCCTTTCAAAAAACACAAAAAGAGTTTAAAAAATATTTTTAAAATGACCTTAGCAGTAGTTTGAGGTGTGTGGTCTAACTGTACCAGTTTGGAGATGGCATCAGTGGATCTTAGACTCGTAGGAGCAGGTCTTGGCACTCGGACATATTCCCTGGAAGGCTGTGGCTAGTTCATCAATAGAGGATGATGGTGTTCCTAACACCCTCAAAGATAAGAGTCTATCAGAAAGCTAGGGTCTTCATTTTTAAAGGCACACTATGCAAGAATTGTACCTTGATATAACAGCTTCAAAGTCATTTCGGTGGTAAACAAACTCATAGTAGGGCGAATCATCCTGGTAATAAAGCTTGGCGGGGTCGCCGCTGGAAAAACCAGCAATGCAAGTTTGAGAGGAGCGCCCCCGACAAATCTCGCGAGAATCACGACTTGCTTTACGGCAACGACGTCACACACATCAACAACCACATATGAAGCACGAAGACACTTGCGCGCATTTCAGACGTGATACTTGACGATGGAAAAAGCAAAGAAAACGCGGTCGGAAGAGACTTGGAAAAGGAAAAGAGAATCTGACCGCGTGAGGAACCGGAAAAGAGTCCCTGATTCGCCCTCGCTATGTGTGTGCGTGTTGTGCGAGTGAGCGCGAGGGCGAGCGCGGCTGATGAGCTGATCAGCGCCAGCTGTTTTGAATGAGGATGTCCGATATATTGTTTGTTACCTCGTCCTGTCTTTGTCAGTTGGTTGTTGAGGCTACCAGGGTTCTACTCGCCGTGTTCTCCTGCATTCCACTCCTGTACCATGCTGTGGTTTTCTGAGATTTTCCCGGAGGAATTTCTACCTGTTCCTGCATCTGTGTCTGCCCACTGCGTCCCTGCGTTGCCGAGCCTGAGTCTTCTTCTGTCTGCTTCCATTTTGACCCACACGGATATCTACTATTGTGCTCAATAAATTACTGTTTACTCGCAACTGAATCCTTTGACTATTTCCTTGTGACAGTCCCACTCGGTCGGGCTTTCACTAGTTGGCGCAAGCTAAAAAGCAGCACTGGATTCAACCGCGCCCAGATAGCACAAGTCTATTTGATGTTATATTTACATCTGGAAGACGTATTTTTAAGAGTGTTTGCTCATCTGCAAGACGTCTATAGGACGTCTCCTGTCAGATGTCAAATAGATGTTTAGAAGATGTCAGTTTAACATGCATTCTAAATCATTACATCTTAAAGACATCTTCTAAACGTCTATTTGACATCTGACAGGAAACGTCCTATAGACGTCTTGCAGATGAGAAAACACTCTTAAAAATACGTCTTCCAGATGTAAATATAACATCAAATAGACTTGTGCTATCTGGGGCGATGCTGACCTGGCGATCTTGTTGATGGATTAAGTAGCCTAAATCTCTTATTTCTAAACTTGATTGCGTTCTATGTTGTTGCGCTTGCTTGTAGTATGCCATTTTTTTACGATGCTGTTCATTCATCCATTGTTGATAATTAGACCAGTCCAAAAATGTCCACATGTCTAGATAGCTATTTACGACAGTGTAAGTGTTCCACAGCGACTATAGGGGTCACTGTTTGACTAAAACACAATTTCTGCATAATGTGCCTTTAAGTAATTACCGATTACTTCAAACAAAAGGGGAAATAACAATCAAGAAACAAAACCACAAAAATAAATCTCAGTACTTTTTTTTAATTATAAACCATTTAAGTAAGATCAAATCTGAATGTAAAACATAACCAGTCCAGAGTGATGCCTTCTGCAATTCATGTAACCGTTTCTTTCGCCATACATCAAACAATTCACAATTCATTCAACGAGTCTTACTACAATTTCATTGAAGCAAACTCAGTAATACGGTCTCATATTGAAACCTGGGTTTTACCCAAATTTACTCCAGTTTGATATACAGAAACAGACCAATAACCAGTATGTCACTTACCAGTGTATGAGTTTTCAGCGGTGCATACCTACATCTTAGACTGCCTGAATAAATGTTCTGTTTTTTAATGAAAACAATGGTTTTATATTTTGCCAAATTGTTCAGTTGAGTTTTACGTCCACTGAAAGATTTCAAATGCAGTGATGTCATAGCTCCTCCCATCTGTTCTCATGGATATGAAGCACATCAAAATGTACCGCTATATTGAATGTGTTAGATCATCATGTAGATGTTTTGTCACAACTTTTATTGCATATTTCACATACTGTTTGCATTTGCACATAATTATTAACATCATTACTTTAATATTCATTATTAAATGATAAACAAAACGATGGTGGCAGTTTCTGCATCATATTCATCCCCATTTTTCTACAGATGAAAAGTGGAAAGAGGAGCTTGACAAACTCCACCACAGGAGTTGTGGGAAATATGGAAAAAGCATGCATGAATGAATACACTTCAAAAATACACTTGAAACAGAATACATACTACGCAGGTACCTTTGTTCCTGTGCATCTATGCCTCACTGAATCTTTTTTCAGAAATTAAAAATATGCTATTGTTTATAAAATGGTTTTCATATATGTACTGGATGGTCCCTTCACCTTGAATTATAGAAATTAACACAGATGTTTGTTTAGATACAACATTTTACAAGAAAGAAAATGGCTTGAGCAAACATTCCTGCCCCTTAGCACAAATATTCATAGCACTAAAATGTTATTTTCATATTCTTATTGGTGCATTGGGTGTAAATGCATTTTATCTGACATGTGATATGATCAGTGATGCTGCATTTTCACCTTCATTATCACTAGGGCTAAAGTATGGGAAGAGTTTCTCAGTGAAAGACTGACCAGTGAAAGAATAAATATGAGATCTGGACTCCACATCATAAAAGGAAACCAGACCATCCTCATAATCCACAAACACACCCACTACCTGAGGCTTCACTCTCAGAGACAGAGAGACAGGAGAAGATTCATAAGCCTGATAGTGATTCCCATCCCTCAGAAACACAGTCCAGTATCCATTCTCAGGAGCTGCTGTGATCATTCCCTTCCTGTTAATGGATTCCCTGGCCACTCCTAAATCCCACTCAGTCTTTCCCTTTACCTGCACCTCAAAATAAAATCTCCCTGAGCTGAATCCCTCTTTTGCCAGGACATTGTAACAATAATCAAACCTCTTTGTATTGTCTTTGAGTTCAAGCTCAGTATCTCCACATGTCACTTGTTTTCCATCATCAGACAGGATGAGTAATGGATGAGCTGTATCAGGATCCAGAGTCACATCCACTGAGAGAAAGATAAAGATCTGAATCACAACTATTCATTATGACAAATTTAAAATAAAATCTAAAAGAATTTATTGAGTAGACTTGATTGTATATGATTTTAAACTCTTATTGCGTGACAATGTAATCAAACAAACAAAAGATTGTACCTGCATATCGTTGTATCCTCTTCAGCTCTGGGGAGACTAATGACAATAAAGGTTATGAGAGAACTTTAATACAATACAATTATATGTTCAGCATATGTGTGTTTGTGTGTCTCTACTGGTTTTCCTTATTACTGCCTATAACTGACACTAATGAATGTACATTGTGGTGATATTTCTGGAGGTATTTCTGTAGATTCTCTAAGAGGAGAAACTGTGTGTCAGGTGCCTTGACAGAAATTATCCAAAGTAGCAAATCACTTAGCAAAATCTTATCATAAAAAAAAAAAAAACATTTTTGAGAAAAGCCCCTGATTTAAAATTGGATAAAGCAACACAAATGTGAAGAAATAAGAATAAAATTTAGACACAAGGGAAAGTTGTCTAGTTCAGAGTAAAGTCCTTAATGTGACTGAACTGATAATGGATATGCAAGTTTACATTGTATGTTTGATTAATGATTGTTTCTTAATGATGTGCATGTGCCCTTTTCCCACATTCAAATAAGACAATTACTGTCAAAATAAGCCTGACATTCTCATACCAGTTTTGCTGAGTTTCTCTTCTATAGTCTCCTGCAGCTGAGTCAAAGCTTTCCTCAGAGTCCCCACACTCTCATGAGTGTCACTAATACTGATCTCAGTCCAGCTGCTGGTGCGTACAGGTCTGCTCAGAGACGGGTAAATCTACAGCAGGAGAGAGCAGAAATCTCTCAGCATGGGGAGTGTTGTGCTGTGATGTGAGCAGACAGAAGGATCTACACTGACCTGTAGGAGCTGCAGGTGATCCTCAGTGTGTGAGAGCTGCTCCAGCTCAGTGTCTCTCCTCATTAGCTCAGTGATCTCCTGCTCCAGCTCTTTAATGTGCTCTTCAGTCTGCTTCTCTGCTGCTTTCTGCTTCTGCTCCATCATCTCCAGCAGCTCAGACTGACATCTCTCAATGGAGCGGATCAGATCAGTGAAGAACTCAATACTCTCTGCTTTCTCTTTCTCGGATGTTTCCTGATAAATCAAGGAATACATGATCTTTTATTGCTACTTCAGCACCTTTTTTACAAAGCAAATTAAATCATCATAATACATAGAATATTTAACGTCATCAATTTTATTTTAAGTAAAAAAAAATAACAAATGCAAATTCTATTGTTTCTCCTAGACAGCAATCAGATTAAATGAAGATCAAATAAAGACTTGAATAATAATTATTTTCTCTATTTTTCCATAAAAATCATCCCAGTAATCTCAAATGTATATACTTTCAGAAAAGATCTCAACAGTGTCTCAAATGTGCTCAGATCTGCAAACAAAAGTCTATGGCTATCCACTTTCTTTGCATAGCTCAACAGTCACATTTGTTTCAATTTTTATTTCTACTAAGGAATTTTACAAAACACAGCTTGAGTTCAAATATTTAACTAAAACATTGTGGTAAGACTCACATCTCTGTGTTTTGCTGAGTGTTTGAGGTCCTGAATCCTCTTCATTCTGTCCAGAATCATCTGCTTCACGTCCGTCTGCATCTTCATCAGCTGAGACTACAGACAGAACAGAAAAACACAGACACTCAACAGATTCAAACCCATCCAATACAAATGTCTTGTAAAAAACATTTGTTGCTGTACCTTCCTCTCTTTGCTCTCCTCCTCTATAGAAACAGTGTTGTGAGTCTTATGGTCTGTCACAGCACAGAGCAAACACACACATGTCTGATCATCTCTACAGAACAGCTCCAGAGGTTTCTCATGTTTCTGACAGATGTAGACCTCAAGATTCTCCACAGGATCGATCAGTTTGTGTTTCTTTAGCTTTGGGACTCTCTGATGAGGCTCCAGGTGAGTTTGACAGTATGAGCTCTGACACACCAGGCACATCTTCAGAGCTTTCATCTTTATATTATCACAGATGTCACAGAGAACCTCAGATTTACTCTGGCCAGACTTTTCTTTTAAGTGCAACACAACCTCTCTGAGTGCTGTGTTGATCTTAAGGTTGGGTCTTCTTCTGAAAGTTTCTTTACATAATGGACATTTGTAGGTCTGACTTTTGTCCCAGCACTGGTTCAGGCAGCTCTTACAGAAGTTGTGTCCACATGGAGTGCTGACTGGATCAGTGAACACATCCAAACAGATCGAGCACTGGAGCTCGGATGACAGAGGACCACTGGAGGATGACAGAGCTGGAGACGAAGATGAAGAAGCACTATTAATCACCTTCATTTAGAACTGATTTACAAATAAAAATGATAACGGCAAAAACTCATCAACAATTAGGCTAGCAATTAGTAGGCTATTATAAGTTTTTAAATTTAGTTACTGACTTCTTGGAAATTCATCCATACTCCTGGCCTCGCTTTGTTTTATTGATAATTCTGCCATTGCTCTATAATTCTCCTCTTCAAGCCTATTTAGGACGAAATCACCACACATTACACAAAATCAGCACAAAGTTATATCCTATACAACAGTTGTAATATAAAGTTTAACTTACTTTTTTTTTAATTTAATAAACATTTTCAACTCCAGATTTCACTTCTGTTCTTAAGTCTGAATTTCAAGTAGGCTACTTACTGGTTCTTAAGTCTCGACAAAAACACACTAAACTTTTCTTTTAAAATGACAGACCTAGTCAGTCACTCTCAATCAGCAATCATTACAGTTATGAACTATTTTCAATGAAGCAAACTTATCAGAATTTAGCAAACTCGTTGTGTTCTTGACCAGGCCTGCCTAACGTTACTGCATAAATCCTGGTTTTGCCTAATATATTCCAGTTAGGCCTACTGAAGCAGGCCGCTAACATTAAAAACCCATTCAGTAAAATCCTATTACAATATAGTGAGTATCAGCTGTGGTCTTAGCTTAATATCTAAATAAATTGTCTGTTGTTATTCCGTTTTCAGACTGTCGTTGATCAGTTTAGTTTCCCTTTCACTAAAGCTCTCGCTCCTTCAATGACGTCATAGTCCCTCCCATCTTTTCTCAACATAACAGAATTTAGTTACAGCCGGTAATGTCAGATTGCAGGCTACTGTAGAAAACAACTCCATATGAAAGACTTAAGTCCTCAAATTCAATAAAAACGTTCTTTGGTTAGCATGACATATATTTACCCTTTTTTTTTTTATGCCGCACTTTTTAGAAGTAGCCTAATAGAGGTAACCTCTGTGGGTGCCATTCATGAAATGACTGTTGATTTAGCTAATTAATCGTATAAAAGTTTTAAATCCGCTTTACTGAACCGAAAGATGGCTACTGAATCAACATGTGACTCACTTATTGTTAGGCCTATAGGTGCTTAAATTAAATGTTAATTCAACAATATAACAACCCTTAATTGCAGCCTGTCTTGCTAGTAAAAGTTTCCCAAACTGAAATGGACTCTGGTCAATAAAAGACAAGCAAACAGCCTAAAATGAATCTTCAGAGAAATAACAGCTAAGACCAAAGTTGCCCGCTCCTGATTTACTGTTGCTCTGAGCAAGATGATGATGCTCTGTGGACCTTGAATGTTAATACAGTATGCCAGGGTTCTCCAAGCCTGCTCCTGAAGAATAGCTCCAACCCCAATGAAACTCACCAGAACCAGCTTATCAAGGAGTTCAGAGTTCCTTGGAAAGGCAGATGTTTTGGAGTCTGTAGGAGCAGGGTTGGAGACCCCTGCAGTATGGCATATAGTAACAGAGACTTGCTTAGAGCAGTGGTTCCTAATCATGATCCTGCAGTACCCCAGCACTGCACCGTTTATATCTCATTCAATTCAACAGATCGTTGGTAAAGACTGCAGGTGAGGCTGGATTGTTGATGTCTTCAATGTCGTTCTGCTGGACTGAAGCATTTTTTATCCACTGTAGATGGAGCCAGTCAGCAATTTCCTACTGTAAGAACAGTGGCTTCTGCTGCTGTCAGAATGAGATCTCAATTACATCAAAGTTTTGGATGTCAAAAAAACGACAGTCTATGATTAGATTCCCATGCAGAATGTCAAAAACCATTTAAAGTACAGTTTATCCACCTTTTTCCTGCAGCCCATGACACTTTATGGGAATAACTTGTGTTAGACAACACAAGATGAGCTTCCCTAACCTGTATGAACTCAGGCTACTATTTAGTGACACCTGGTGGGATAATCTTCAACATGTCGACAGATTCAGTCATTATTATTGCTCAAACAAATTATTTTACATAACTTTACTCAATAGTTGCTTAATCTAAATAATTACACAACCTTGCGAAATCTTTCCCTCTGGCATCCGAAAACCTCAACAATGCCAACCGTACAGTTAATTATGACATAATACACAAACATCTTACACAAGCAGCATTGAGACAAAACAACTAGCAATTATATCAATGAGTGAAATATTTATTTAAAAACTGAAAAGTAAAACAAACCCACACACAGTTTTAGTATATATCATACAAAGATATTCTCCAAAATGTTATTGAGCGGTCTTGTTTTTTTATTTTTTATTAACAAAAGTGAGAGGCAGTTTAGAGGCTGGCTGAGCTGGTAAGACTAGACAACCGAATCTAAATGGTGGAATAAACCATTACTGAAGGTGATGATGACACAAAAAAAAAACGGAAATTAAATACCCAGTGTCGCAACTTAACATAACAGCCGAAGCAGTGCAACAAGTGAAACAATATGAGGGTATTAAGACATAACAACATAAGGGATATACAGTATATATCATATCTCAGTCACACAGCATCCACCCAAACACACACACATTATATTAGTATTAAAGAACACACACACATATACACTCTCAACGCATGTTCATACAGAGTCTAGAGGACCCTAATGCAATCATGTTCTCTTTTGTAGTTGCTGACTGGTAGTTTGTGGAGAAGTTGAGGTAACCATGGTTTGTAGATGACTACAAGACTGCATGTCCCTGTGTCGAGCCCTGGTCAGAGCTGTGCTGCTGGCAGACAGTGGTGGTCTACAAGGCTATGTGGTCTACATTGCTTTGACGGAGGTGGATAGGCCTCTAGAACCAAATACATTTTACTTCACATTTTTCATGCATCTCCATTTTGGTCTTATGAAAGACCTTGAGTCTTGAAGAGTCTTATGAAAACTTTTTCAAAGCCCCGAAAGGGACACGGTGATAGGAAAAATGATAATTTGAATAATATAATCCCTCAAAAATCTGTGTTTGCTCATAAAACCCTTCCTTTCCTGGAGAAACTTTGCGTTCGCTCACAAATCTTTTGTGTATCTAGAGAAAATTTGCGTTCGCTTGTAAAACTTTTGTGATGGAAATAACATTTCAAGTGAGTGAATGCAAAGTTTCTCAGGAGAATACGATATTTGTGCAAGCAAATACAAAGTTTCTTGTGGGAATGCAACTCGTTTGAGTTAGAACATTAAAATGTAACCCCCCCCCCCCCCATCACCATGTTCTCTAAGGGCTCCGAATCATTTCTTCTTTCTTTTAGATATCCTCCAAGTTGAAAAACCAAACGAAACACACCAAAGTTGAACACAGGGATTGGTACATCTGTTCTCACACGGTTCTCTACTGATTTTCATGATCTCAGTTCGCAATACCAAACTACAACTTTAAAACACTGTCCTAATGCTACTCTAGATCACGATTTTAAAGGTCTTTTTTGAGGGAATGTGATCCTTGACCCTTTTTCCCTTTTGGAAGGCACGGGTGTCTCTCCTCGCCTCGGTGTGAAGGGGTGCACGTATGTGGAGCTAGAAGAAGACAACAGGAATTAACAGATACTGTCATTTTAACAGCGTGTAAACCGTACAGGACCGTTTTATGGACCTTTACTAATACAATATGGTGCATAACCTATCTGTGCTCAGCAAACCTAAATAGAGCTAATAAAACAAAACGATGAGCTCTAGCCCGACGTGAGGTCTCACAAAAACAGTCAGTTCATAGTCAGTCATGGACTTGAAATTGGTGAAAAACATCAGGACACAGTTCTTGCGAAAAATCATACGTTCGATGAGCTATTTAGCGGTTTGTCCCTAAAAGTCAACATGGTGAAACAGTAAAAAGCCTGTTGATTAAATCTATTTAGGGCTTCTTATGAAATCATGCCTCGGGAACATAATCAAAAGAAATCTGAAGAGAAAAAAAAAAAAATACATACAGAAAAAGGGTTTTGAGTTTGCTAGTGTTTTCGGGTGTTAGTCCACAGTGGTCATCATCTACTATGTTCAATGCTCTTGTTTTAGTTCAGAGACCACTGATAAGGGGACTAGGGAAGGGGCGGACCCAGACGAGGGCGATCCTACACGACAGTTAGGAATGTGTTTGAGAGGTGGAAGTCACACAGCTGCTGTTTGTAAAAGTTGAGTCCGGAAGGGTCACAGCACAGTGCCATTTCCTGCAAAATGGGGTGACTCACCATTGTGCAATGCATCATGGGATGTTTCATAGGGAGACGGGATTGTTCTAAATGGTCAGGGGTGGGGGAAGATTCTCCATTCCTTATGAGGAAGAGGAAATGAAATACTCAGACAGTTCAGCGAGCCTGCACTTCCCTCTCTGTCCACTAGGTGGTGCCATCCATTTCCTGCCTTCCTCTCCCTCCCCCCTTTGTCGCACACTATCATCACACTCCTCACGTCTCCTGACTCCACGGGCAGGGGAGGGAGCAGGTTAGAAAAAAAGCACCTTTTATTTGGCTTAAATGTACAATAAAAGAAATCAAAAGAGTTAAAAAGTACAATAAAAAGGGAGAAGGGAAAGATAGTGTGTATATGAAGACGTCAAGCGCCCCGTCTGTAGGGCCGCTGCGCAGAACACGACAAGTCTCATCCCGTTCCTGCGGACAAACACAAAAGAAAGAGCGAGTTACGCACAAGCAAACAAACCACACCCTTTGCACCACCAATTAGCTTAATACTCCATCCTCAGCCCTAAAAATCTCCATCTACCCCACTCGCTAGGCAATTCTGGGATGTTTGAGCAGTTTTGGGTCAGATGGTATTATGTTTGTGGTGTTATTGGGGGTCTTACCCTCGTCCTCCCCTCCCCAGCCCTCTGCGACGCCAGCGAGCTTGTAATGCTTCTTCCTCAGTTCCCCAAGTCGCTCCCTTTCTTTCTGCAGCCGGGTCTCCAGCTCCAACACCAGCACCTGAGACACAATAAACGGTCAGATTTGTTCACATACTTCCACAAAGACATGGACAACAGGTTAACACTCGCTCACCTGTGCATCCATCTCTTGCCTCTTGATCTGAGTGAGTGTCATTGCGGAAAAGTCCATAGTTTCTGAAACAAAGAGAGAATTCAGTGTTAAATACCAATCCAATTTTATGATTTTCAATTCATGTCTAAGAGCTTTCAGGCTACTGAGGATTTTTCTTGTTCGCCTGCATTTTTGGCCAATAAAGATATCTTTAGAATAAGAAAATTAATCTCTCAATTTTAAGAAAATCATGATTTCACCAGGCTGTCATGTGAATTAAAGGCTACTGGCTATCAATATAGAATAGTATTGCAATATGTTACATGGGGATGTTATATCGATACACGGATGCCAATTATCAATCTTTTCAGGGCCTGAATTACGGCTTACGATAGGCGAGCATTGTGCATAATTTTTCCATAATTAAATTAAAAGGAATTAAAAGTAATAATTTGAAATCTTTCTTTCAGACTATAATTTCACAAACAGTGCGATGAAATCAGCGCTACTGCTTCTCTCTCCATCCCATGTTTATATTACTATGGAGGAGCATCTAGTTATCATGTTTCCAGCAAACAATAAATACATAAATAAATAAAGGGAAGTCCAGTGCATTTCAGTGTACTACAGTTGAATATTGGACATTTTGTGTATTAGGCCATCCAGTTTGTAGAAAATTTGCAAACTGTTATACTGGGCATAATGTTCAATGAATCAAAAGCTTTTAATGAATGAAAGGACACACAATGTCATTGACTCCATGTGACTGGTCAATGTTGTTTAAATGCCTTTGCCTCCACAGAAGAGCATCAGCACACAAGCTTGCATGGAGAAAAGCCTGACTGTGTGTAGGCTTGCTCATTGCTGTATCTCTGGAGGGCACCATAAACCAGTTTCCATAGCTATAGTTAAATGTGAAATGGGGCAATGTAACTGGAGGTCAATGAGAAGCAAAATGAGGCTGCTACCACAGTAACTACTAACTTTTGGCCCTTATTTAATGAATAATGGAAAAAGAACAAGACATTATGGGGGAAATGATGCAAGCAAGAATTAAACCTGAATTACCCACATGAGCATCACAGCTTAACGTGTCTGAAAATGTTGAGCCACTTAAACACATGCCTAGCAAGACCTCACCTGTATCCTCGATCTGAGACTTGCCGGACTTTGTTGACGCCACGACCCCTGCAGTGGCCTGGGTGACCCCTTTGGAGGCCTGCTGGAGGCGGGAAAGGTTTGTACTGCCCTTGTCTGCTTTTACCTGAAAAGATAAGACAGATTATGTATCAAACATTGCTTTAAAGTTAATTCAAGCGCAAATGTTGTTGGCGCTGTACCTTAGATGCCGCAACTAGCTGAGCCGTGCTGGCAGCGATCTCATGCGAACACACCATCAGCTCCTCAAACTTTCCCTTGCCTTGCACCACCTGATCAGCTGCATCACTGCAGGAAGAAGAAAAAAAGCACAATGGTGATGGTTAATATATCAGTTCATGTAGGATTTAAAACTTAGGGTCTGGACACTTTGGAAAACAAGGACAGAATCATGGAATCCAGTCATTAAAATGGAATTTGCTGTATAATGCGGAATGACACGAAACTAAGTAATCAAAATAGGGCTGTACACTTAATCAAATTCCAAATGAAATATGGACTAGTGTCTGCTATTATTAAACCACAAAAAGAAATATGAAGTGTACATGTTCTGTGAATCTCAGAGTGAATGATTTTTGTCTACTGCACATACTCAAGCACATGTGATGCTGAAGGTGGTTGCAGAGCTATTTCTATTTTATTATAAAATGTACTTCTCAAAGTTATAATAAATAAAATAATAATAATAATCCTATTTACAAGAACCTTTTTTAAGAAATACCATAAAATCAAGAGATTTTTTTCATCTGTTTTAATTTATACAGAAAATCTGTTGTGCAACACTTTGACAAAAATGCAATGTTTAGTTGTAAACAGGGCCGGTTCTAGACATTTGGAGGCCCTAGGCAATATTCATGTTGGAGGCCCCCCACCCCCAATAAAAAACTCCTGAAACAAATATGATTCCTAATCTTTTAATTTATACAACATTTAATTTTAAATGTTTTTACTTACACAGTACATAAGTTTGGACACATTACTATTTTTAATGTTTTTGAAAGAAGTCTCTTATGCTAATCAAGCCTGGATTTATTTGATCAAAAATACAGATAAATAAAAGTGCAATATTATTAAAATTAAAAATAATAGTTTTCCTATTTTACTACTTTAAAATATATTTCTGTGATGCAAAGCTGAATTTTGTGTCATGTGATCCTTCAGAAAACGTTATAATATTCTGATTTATTATCAAATGTTAGAAATGGTGCTTAATATTTATTTTATAACCTGTGATACTTTTTTTCAGGATTTTTTTTTTATTATTATTAAAAAGTTGTTTAAAAAAGTCTTCACTATCCCTTTTTATATATTTAACACAGCCTTGCTGAATATTCCTGTTTTTCTTTTTCTTTTTTGTATTTTTGATCAAATAAATGCAGGCTTGTAGAGCATAATAAAAAAACTTCTTTCAAAAACATTAAAAATAGTAATTGGTCCAGACTTTTTACCAGTAGGCTACTGTATGTACACATTAATCAAACTTCATCTAAGGTAATCTCTTTTTTGTTTAATGAAGATGTTATTGTTATTTTGCTGTTTTATTCAATTTATTCACAGTTCCAGAATACCACTTCAGTGATATATGCTTTTATCATTTTTTTCATAGCTGGTATGGGCAGGATTTTCCCCTCCCATTTAATAAATATTCGACTGCAGAATGCAGATATTGTCATATTATTAATATAAGTAGGCCTAATATGATATTATGCATTGCATTGCTAGCTTAAATATGCTATACACAAATGAAGTGGAAGAGAAAGACACGATCGCTACTGATTAGAAAAAAAATTCTAAACTGATATTATTGGCGTAAGTAGGCTGATGTCAGACAGGGTATAATCTAATCATCAGCAGAATTTAGAAGATAGACCCGAGATCCTTTATTTGAAACATTTAAAAATGTTGTAGTGTGTTCACTTTTTAACTTTGCATTCAAACGTCTTGTCTTTTACTTTTGTAGCGTTTTTAGTCAGCTCCCGACGCGATGTTATTCATTGTGCGCAAATTCAAAGCGCCGCGTCTGGGCACGTTAATGACGCTCGCGCTCTTTTAAACTCGTAATAAAGCGGTGAATGGTTTTTCCAGAAATGACGCTGATCTAAAGTACAAGTTTATATTTAGAATACATTGCAATCACTCCAAAATAGATGACGACAACGCACACACCTGCATTAGAGCTGTGCTTCTTTGCGTGTCTAATTAGGGTTTTGCATCGCAGCACCTGATGGGCTGGCGTTAATGTGACGTAATGTAACAGTCTATGGTTAAGATAAACATCGTCACTATTTTTAGTTAATTAATAAATATTGAAATAAATTGTAGATAGGACATTTGTAAAAAAAAAAAAAAAAAAAAAAAAAAATATGTATCCCTCTGTCTGGGCCCCATCCAGCCAGTCGGGCCCTAGGCACGTGCCTAGTTTGCCTTTGCGTTAATCCGGCTCTGGTTGTAAAGGAATTGTATTTTCATTTGATGACAAATTTTATGAATTCATTTGATTACCACAGTTTTGAAGATAAATCTGTATTAAATCTTAAAATGATCATAAAAAGTAAAAAGCAAAATTTGTGTAATTCATAGGGCCCTATTATTTTTAAAATTGTACTAATTTATTCAAATTTTAAAAAGTTTCATGAATTCAATTGATTAGACATGATTGATTATTAAAATTTTATTAAGCCATTAAAATGGAAAACAAATAATCTTGGAAAAAATACAAAATAATCATTTTAAAATAATAAAAAGCGGATTTCATCGGGCCACTGAGATTTTTAATCACTATGCCACAGCTCCCCCGTCCCCCCATTTTCTCACTGTCTGTGTTACTCACACCAACATGGTGGCGCCCCAGCCCACGGCCTTGGAGGCGGAAATGAGACCTTCCGTCCATCGGGAATTCTTGGCGTAGAACTCCTTCATAGATGCGGCCCCCTGTGAACGCAGCAGAAACATCAATAAAATGTCATTTCACGCTCTACAAAAGCAAGTTTTCAACAAAATAAAAGTTCACTCACCCTGCCGCTCTCCACAATGTCCCTCTGCAGGTCTTTGGAGGACAGCACGAGCACTTTGATGGCCTGCATGAGATCTGTGCAGGATGCCAAGATCCTGCAGGGGGCGACAGAGAGCAATATTAAATACTTCAAAGGCCTGCTTTGCATGCATGGGTTGGTTGGCTAATGTGTCTGGGTGAATGCAAACGTGCAACGCTCTCCAAAGGGAAATGAACTCTGCATAAAGACATTTTGATCACTTAACCAAATCCACAAAGGAATATCAACCAAATAAATTCAGTTAACTGTTTTTGGTAACAGTAATCATGAAACATTTTATGCATTGCATTTCATAACACGTGACTTGGTCAGTCTGACCTTTCATTGACTTCCATTTTGATTCCTGTGTCAACTGCCCTGGACTTATTGAGCATTTCCTGTTGCAAAGAGCAAAGGGGAAAAACATTAGACAAGTAGACTGGAGCGCTTCGTGTTTTGTTAAGCATCTGTCTGTATGGTAGAAAAAGCATAGACTGATCACCTCAATCCTGGCGGCAGCCGACTCCACAGCTGCTGATGTGGCTGACATCTCCTGCTCCACCAGATCTCCCAGCTCCCCTTGCTTCAGTTCCAGACCCCGAGGACGCAACTTCTGCTCAGAGAAAACAGAGGAATTAACTAAGAGGTTGTGTTCTCATCTATTTCTAATTTACATCTCATTTACGTTGTAGAACAAAACGCCAAAGTATCGTCTTATGTTTACCACAGGCTTTATTTTACTCATAAATAAATAAAAAAAACCCCATAGGAAAATCTCAAGGGAACCAGGGGGCGGAGCTTTGACGTGCGCCACTCTATTGTCCTGTATAAATCCAGAGCAAATTGTGAAGTTCTCGACCTTCTATTTCCAATGTGAAAAATAAAATCTGAATATCAATTATTATTATCAAGTATTTAAAGTCACCATAAATATAAAACTGAGTTATTATATTTTATGTAATATTGCAGTATTTATCAATGCACATCATTCTTTTTTTTAAATTCACGTGCCATCGTAATCAAAATAACTAAATAACACTCTTGCAGTGACATCTCTTCTCTGAAGACATGTTTACTGGTGCGAGGGCGGGACAACCTGTCACTCACATGACACCCCAGCAACAGCAAACCACAAACATCCAACGATCCAATCAAATCCCGATGGACAAAATCAAGTCCCGCCCAACATTTTTTCTTGTTTGAGAAGCTGTTTCACTGGGATATACACGTCACAATAGTGAATAAAAGACAATCGTAAGTTGTCATTTGATTGGATGGCCATTTGCTGATTAAGATGCAATGTAGCATACTACTCTTCTCTTACAGATGTTTATTAATTAAACTACAACTATGAAAAATTGTTTTCGTTAATTTAAATAAAGTTGCAATAAAATAAATATCAGATGAAAGACTTAAAGTTAAAAAAAACTTGCAATTGAAGTACTAAAATTACCAAAGAATAAAGCTAAATAGAAATGACAAAAAACACAAAATAACTACCGTATTTTCCGCACTATAAGGCGCACTTAAAAGCCTTTAATTTTCTCAAAAAACGACAGTGCGCCTTATAATCCGGAGCGCCTTATATATGGATGGTGAACACACGTTCACCAAGACGGGGAGACAGCGCCGGGCGACTTACGCCACTATCTGCCAATGGATCGTGGATGCCTGGGTTGATATATCAGTCTCAACTGTGATCCGAGCTTTCACGAAGGCAGGAATAATCTCTTTATTCAGCCAGCTCACATACCCGTATTTACTTCCTGTTTTCGGCCGAAGTCCACAGTAGTTGATTGTCGAGTTCGCGCGCGATCAAACCTCCTCCGTGTATTCAACATCTGATTCGGATGAACCAGAGCCGTGGCTCTGGGATGAACTATCTATTTGAGCTGATATTCTGAGAACACCACACAGCACCGTCATCGGCTGACAGCTGTGCTGAGTCTCCACTGTTGCTTAGTAACCAATGAACGCTCGCGCAGGCACTCGACAATCGCCTACTGTGGACTTCGACCGAAAACAGGAATTATATACGGGTATGTGAGCTGGCTGAATAAACATCATTTTTATTCATATCTTTCACATTTACTGCAGTCAGATTTACCGTGTTCACTCACATGGCTGTGCACTTGTAATGACACATTAAGGTTGTTAAGAGGCTAAAAGCAGGTTTAAAACTTGTCCCGTTTAAGTCAACAGGGTGCAAATTTTAAAAAGAGGATAACACGGTCTAGGCAACACCGGTTTTTGTCGTTGTTATCTGTACTGACAGCACTCCAAATTTACAAAAAATGAGCTCAATGTTAAAATTGACCGGAGTTTTCCTTTAACGTTTGAACAACGTTACCATGGGAGTGAACGGAGTTGTCAGAACGCTTAATAAAGTTTGACTTTATCTGATTGTTTTGTTGACATTTGTTGACATCTAGTGGATGCATAACGCAAACCCAGACAAACGTTTGACTGCAGTATCTTATGCGCCTTATAATCCGGTGCGGCCTATATATGAAAAATTTTCTAAAATAGGTCATTCATTGAAGGTGCGCCTTATAATCCGGTGCGCCGTATAGTGCGGAAAATACGGTAATAATATTAAATAAAAATATATTTAAAAATAAAAGCTAATTCAAAATATTAATAAATACTATAATAATCGATAAATAATAATCAAATAACACACGGCATGCATTATGCAGTTCCATACTAGCTTTGGCATAATTTAAATCACTCAAGAAAAGTGCTAAAAATTATTCTCGCCGCCAGCTATTTTTCAACCCACTGGTTTACCATGCTAAAACCAGGACTGACTCTCAGTGGCACACTCACTTCACCCAACGCCATTACGGTATCCAGTGCCGACGTCAGCCGGCTGCAGTCTGCCGTCCCCATAGACTTCTGCTCCTTAAGCTGGCAAAGCAGCGCCATTGCCTCCGCGCCACACGCCTTCACGTTGTCTGCCAAAGCTGCCCACAGACAAAGACAGAAACCAGAGAGCAGTCAGACGAGCCATCTGTCACCTGCAGACACTCCACATACGCTCGGGAAGAAACACATTTCCTGCCGTGTACAGTCGTGACGTGATTGCTTGTGCTCGTGGGAACCGCACATTAGCCGTTTTGAGTCATGTCATGTTCCTTTCAAGCATCTCTCCCAAAACAACCAGACCTCCGGCGACGGAGATATTAACAGAACCGCAGACACTAATGACCTTCATGATGAATGGAGACTGACTCAAACAGAAAGTCATTTTCTTGGACGTCTCTATATGTGGAATGTGGATAAAGCGGTACTGTAAAATATTTATCAATTTAAAAATAGAAATTACATTTATGCTGCTTAGATCGGACGGATAGCTATGGTTCTGGATGCTGATTGGTCGATACAGTGTATTAAAGCACAATGACTGTTTCTTTAAGGAAGTATTTGCATAGAAATTCATTAGTTGTGCTAATGTTACATAAGCTCATTTGAATACATTTTCATGGCGCCTGGGTGATGCTTACCGTCAGCTAGTTCCACTGGCACCATGTGGGAGGTGGCGCTTCCCTGCACGATGACATCGCCCACCAGGTGAGCAAACTGAGTCACTGCCCGGACCAGTCCAGACACATCTATTACACACATTCAGGAAAATCAGTGTGAAATAGTTACAACATGATCATATGAGTGCCTCTCATCTCAACAGACTAGTTCTGTGTAAAAAAAAAAAAAAGGGATGAAATGGTGTCTGAATGCATTCATGGTGCACTTAAATCAGTTTCGGATTTCTATTGGTATATCATTACGTTATTATTTTTTGAGCTTGTGCATGCTGAGTAGAGAACAGTGAACAGGGGAGTAACAAAAGTTTTTTTTGTAGTAGTGTGAAATTAGCTCAACTGTCTTCAAAATAGTGCAGATTTTTCAGTCCTGAGACATTTTTTCCAACAGGTAGCAGTGTAGCAACACAAATCGCTACATCACGGTTGTGTCACAATGTATCGCACAGCCTTACTAGCAAGCGAGCCAGACAGAATCCTCTCCTGTCTCAAGTACTGCTGGGAAGTTATTCAGGTCGAAGTTGATTCAGTTTGTTTTTAGTAATTCAGTTTGTTTAGATAGTTCAGAATAAAGAAAATAAACTCCAAATGAGGTAATCAATAAATTCTGGTCATCAACCAAGATGCTAGAAATTGCGATTTTCTTGGGCGATTCCAATTTTCCAATTTTTCAACAACTATAATTGACAGCATATACAACAAAAAATCTAAGTTTCTTTAATGCAAAATTTTATTTTAATACAAAAACAAGTTAAAAGACAGTAATAAAATAAGAACAAATAAACAAATTTCAAACAACAGCACAAATAAAGAGAGATATAAAAAAACAGGGCTTTAAATTTTTCAGGTGGGTATACGGTATATTCAGGTAAGAAATACTAAAGGAATTAAAGTAATCAAATGTACCTTTTAGCTAATTACTATTTCAGTAAAGACTAACTTTACTGTAATTTAACTACTTTAAATGATGTGTAACTGATATCTTGGCAAGCTACAGTTTCAAAGCAACTTTCCCTAACACTGTTGGAGTGAACGGTACATTAATGAATGCTAGTTGAGAAGGAAAATGAGAGTATGTACATGTAATTCACCTGTGTTATCTGATACAAAGCCGTCTCTGGCCGACTGCAGCCTCTCCACGCAGTCCAGAGCCACCTGGCACCTGGACACCAGGTAATCTACACACACAAGAAGGTCCTTTAATATTTATTACGCTCTCGTAGGGCAATAAGTGTGGGTTGTCAGGACATGAGGGTAATTTGAGCAGGTCACTGACCGGCCGAACTGGTGCAGCTGATGTGTGCGGGGTCCTCCAGCTGATTCAGGCTGTCCTGTACAATCCTTCCCGCCTCCTCTAGAGCTGCCCGCAGAGCCGCCCAGCGCAGGGACACCAACTCGCTCTCCAGAGCCTGCTCACGACTCTCCTACAGATAGTAAGACAATCAAAGCCAGCATTTAACACCCCGTTACATCAATTAGTCCTTTTCTGTTAGCTTTGAGACCAACAGTCTAAATGCTAGTGAGCTTGTAAAAAGCTAAATTAACATTTATCATATTTACAGCCTGTCTTTTGGATATATGAATCTGAACAATTACACAGACCCAATTATAATTGAACAAATAACATCAATAGTAAACCTACAATATCCCACCTTCTCATTGAGTTGGTTTTGCAGGGCCTCAGCAGCTTTCACACCACTCTCTCTCTCATTGGTCAGACTGCTCTGTACACGCTTTAACTCCACCCCCAAACCTGCCAACTCCGCCTCTTTCTGAGATACAGTCTCCAAAAGCCCCGCCTTCTCCGCCTCTAAAGCAGACAGCTGAGTATTGAGCTGCTCACTTGACTACAGAAAGAGAGAATACAGTTCAATGAGAGCCATCTGTCATTACGTGAATTACAAGATCTAATGTGACTTACTGAGAGAACAAGAATCTCAAGAAACTGTGTTGTTATTGTTGAAGCAGAAGTTAGAGCTAATACATTTTGGCGTACAAACATACGTCATCCCTGCAGCACTCTATAAAGCACTGTATTTAAAGTGAACTAATACAGTCATGATAAAGATGTTAAAAATATCAACACACAGTTGTCTTTATTTGAGTCAGCTGCTAGAGGCAGTAGTGGAGGTGCTGCAGCAGGCGTGCAGGAGACAGAGGGAAGTGGGATAGAGGGAGAGGGGGCAGGGTGACATATCAACTCCCACATGCAGTCTGGACACATCAACTCAGGTAATTTAGAACCTACATGCAATCACAGAATCCCCATGTCAACCTGCGCTGGACTAATCGCAGAGACAGTGATACATGGATCCTGTGGTGGGCCGGGAGCTGAACAGGGATGGATGGAAGAGCCGAGGGCTGCACGATATATCGAAAAAAATCTATATGGCTTAGTGCGAATGTCACATGCGTGCAGCCTAATTCTCAGAACAGCTCGGTTAATTTACTGTGAAACCAATCTGAGAAACCAAAAAACACTGAACCACGAGCTGCCCGCATGCAAAGGGCTGAGTTTCTGAAACCAAAATAAAAGCTTGATGGTTTAACATTTGTTAAAAAAAAAAGAAAAAAGGAAAGAAATTAGGATAAATATTAGTACTGTAATTTAACAGTTGTACTATAAATTAAAGCTGTTTTTATTAAATACTTCATTTCTTATTTTAAAGTACAACAGTTAGTTAGATATTACAGTTAGATATTACAATACTTATTATTTTGTTTAATATATTTCTAATAATTACAATAAAAATTTCTATTATACATTTTTACTGAATTGGTCAAAAACAGTGGGATTGTGGCCTATGCAACACAAGTGGAGGGATTTTTTTTACCTGTTCAATTTATGCTTGCTGAAAGTGTTTTGTGTTAGTTCCTATAATAAAATCAAAGTGTGGACATCCAAATTTCAAGAAAAAATATTGCCAAATGTTTAGTCCTAAAAGGATATTTTGCACTCTTCAGGAGTCATTTTCAGCTTTTTAAATAATTTTATTCACAAAATCAACCCACTCATTCTAGAATGAATCATTTTTTTCCCCCAAATAGAACTATTCAAGCCATCTGGTGAATGTTCCTTCATTTCTTCCTATCACAATATATATTGCAGAAAAAGTAAATGTCAGCATGTCAGTTTTTTCCAATATCGTGCAGCTAAAGCGTGAAGATTTGTCAAGAATTGCTTGACATTTCATTATGTTTCATATTTCATGACAGAGGTGAAGAGGAAGAGAATGATGGGTGGAGGGTGAGGTCCCACCTGTTGGGTGGAGGTGACGGTACTCTTCAGGGTCTCTAGTTCTGTTCTGCTGGACATGAGCTCGGCTTGTAGAGCTTGAAGCTGCTCTAACTGAGCCTTCTCCTACTCGTGCACATACATGAGGATAGGGAAGTGTAAGACAAACATACTACGGATACATCAGGCAGAGGGAGTGTGTGTATGAAGTGTGTGTATATGTGGTTTGTGTGCAACCTGCTGACTGGTAGAGTCCTGAGCGGCTTTCAATTTGTCCTGCATCTCTTTCTTCACATTCTCCACCTCGTCCTGGGCGGCACGGGCCACCGTCATCTGACGTGTCACCTCTGCGTTCTGAGAAACACATACACACTCGTACAGTTTAGCACAGTCAAAACACTTGGCTGACCCAGTTCCTTTGCCAAGAATGTGGCTCCCACTGTCGGATGGCTCTGTGGTGGGATCAGAGCGTGCTGCTGTATGAGAGTGAGAGTGATGACAGCCTAAAGCGTGGCAGAGGAACACAGTGCCAAGTTCTCATCTGTGTTTCATCTGAGTCTGCTAGAAAGGAATTCTGGTGGAGGAGCTAAACCACCTGCAGGTTTACTGACAGGCCTCTGGAGCTGAAGCAAGCAGTATAACGTAAGTAATATAACGTTTCTATCTGCATGGGAAACACAGATTACTGACTGCATTTGCCAAAACAAGTGCGCTGAGTGAGATATAGTGTCCCACAACGCAATGCGCCTGACCTTCCATTTCCAGTGTGATGAATTAAGTGGAAGTAAATATCAGCTACAATTTTTAACATCTTTCTCCCCTCATTATTAGATTTATGCATGCAATTAATTCAAAATCTTTTAAAGTGTTAAAATAATTGAATGCAAATAAATAACTGAAGCATGTGAAATTGCATCAGTCGTTTAATTTACGTCACGCAGTTAGATGATCTTAGAAGTCGGGAGTTTATCAAACACCTGTAACACTGGTAAGTGGAAATTTCTATTTGAACCCTTTAACCCGATTTTGCTGCTTTAGCACCTTTTAGCAGGAGCTATGGTGTGCATACATTTATGAATTACAGGTCCTTCTCAAAAAATTAGCATATTGTGATAAAGTTCATTATTTTCCATAATGTAATGATAAAAATTAAACTTTCATATATTTTAGATTCATTGCACACCAACTGAAATATTTCAGGTCTTTTATTGTTTTAATACGGATGATTTTGGCATACAGCTCATGAAAAAAATTCTCACAAAATTAGCATATTTCATCCGACCAATAAAATAAGTGTTTTTAATACAAAAAAAAAAAAGTCAACCTTCAAATAATTATGTTCAGTTATGCACTCAATACTTGGTCGGGAATCCTTTTGCAGAAATGACTGCTTCAATGCGGCGTGGCATGGAGGCAATCAGCCTGTGGCACTGCTGAGGTGTTATGGAGGCCCAGGATGCTTCGATAGCGGCCTTAAGCTTTTCCAGAGTGTTGGGTCTTGCGTCTCTCAACTTTCTCTTCACAATATCCCACAGATTCTCTATGGGGTTCAGGTCAGGAGAGTTGGCAGGCCAATTGAGCACAGTAATACCATGGTCAGTAAACCATTTACCAGTGGTTTTGGCACTGTGAGCAGGTGCCAGGTCGTGCTGAAAAATGAAATCTTCATCTCCATAAAGCTTTTCAGCGGGTGGAAGCATGAAGTGCTCCAAAATCTCTTGATAGCTAGCTGCATTGACCCTGCCCTTGATAAAACACAGTGCACCAACACCAGCAGCTGACATGGCACCCCAGACCATCACTGACTGTGGGTACTTGACACTGGACTTCAGGCATTTTGGCATTTCCTTCTCCCCAGTCTTCCTCCAGACTCTGGCACCTTGATTTCCGAATGACATGCAAAACTGAGCAACAGTCCAGTGCTGCTTCTCTGTAGCCCAGATCAGGCGCTTCTGCCGCTGTTTCTGGTTCAAAAGTGGCTTGACCTGGGGAATGCGGCACCTGTAGCCCATTTCCTGCACACGCCTGTGCACGGTTGCTCTGGATGTTTCTACTCCAGACTCAGTCCACTGCTTCCGCAGGTCCCCCAAGGTCTGGAATCGGTCCTTCTCCACAATCTTCCTCAGGGTCCGGTCACCTCTTCTCGTTGTGCAGCGTTTTTTGCCACACTTTTTCCTTCCCACAGACTTCCCACTGAGGTGCCTTGATACAGCACTCTGGGAACAGCCTATTTGTTCAGAAATTTCTTTCTGTCTTACCCTCTTGCTTGAGGGTGTCAATGATGGCCTTCTGGACAGCAGTCAGGTCGGTAGTCTTACCCATGATTGCGGTTTTGAGTAATGAAACAGGCCGGGAGTTTTTAAAAGCCTCAGGAATCTTTTGCAGGTGTTTAGAGTTAATTAGTTGATTCAGATGATTAGGTTAATATCTCGTTTAGAGACCCTTTTCATGATATGCTCATTTTTTGAGACAGGAATTTTGGGTTTTCATGAGCTGTTTGCCAAAATCATCAGTATTAAAACAATAAAAGACCTGAAATATTTCAGTTGGTGTGCAATGAATCTAAAATATATGAAAGTTTCATTTTTATCATTACATTATGGAAAATAATGAACTTTATTACAATATGCTAATTTTTTTAGAAGGACCTGTATATAGACTCCTTATATCATTTGGTTATTTGGTGTCCTTTTGGAGTCTCCAAGTGTCCTTTTTTGGAAAGACACCTAAATTTACCTTGAAAAGGCTTGCAGAAAATACAGTTTTGTGAGAATCACCCTTCAATCTGAAGGTCTACTTTGCTGGATATAGCAATTGATGACAAAATGAGCGTGTTAAATAAAGGTGGGGTTAGTGGTATTTGAAAAACGATGTTTCGAAGTTAGTCGGACCGACACACGAACAAACAACAACAAACGTGTGTAGCCAATCAGCATTAGGGGGCGTATGATGGTAGAGGAGAGAGAACGAGCACGACGAAGATTTGAAGAAAGATTGCAGAAATAGAGATGAGACAATAAAAAAGAGAAAACCTCAGAAGAAATCACTGGAAAATGAAGGGTTATGACTGGGCAAGAGCTTTAGGACCCGCGTTAATGTTAGAAAAGCTTTCCAGCGCTGGAGAGACCTGAGTGGGAAGGCTTGAAAACAGGTTGCTTTGATTCCGCTCCACACGTGAGTAACACTGGGTTTGAGTGTCATTGTTTGTCTGGAGCTGCTGTGCTGTTGGCAACTAACAATGAACTATTGTTTGTAATTACTATTGTGTACTGTACGACAATTTTTTTGTGCTTCCTTGTCATTCGTTCATCCTCTGCGCTCTATTTTTCATGAAGCATTATTTTGTTGCGCTTCTGCTATGATAAACAGACATCCACTCTTGGACTGCGTGTGTAACGGAGGCCAGTTAGTCAGTCGCCTTGGCGACTGCTAGTGAATACGGTGTTTAGCGTGATTGTTAGTGCACTCACCTCGCATGCAGGTGGATTGGGGTTCGAGGCCAACTCGGAGCAGGGCGGTTAGGATTGGAGTGTGAGTTTTGGAGGCGGAGCAATGAAGAGAGGGGTGTGTTTGTTTGGGTTGATTTCAAACATCAACATTGTCCAACAGTGTTTTTGAAATGGCGCTTACCCCACCTTTAATATATCTATATAAATAAAAAATATCCATATACAGCCAGTGTGTGATTGAATGGAGATGCAAGGACATCAATTTACCTTCCTCAGCAGGTCAGCATGGCTCTGGACCAGCTCTGTGTATTTCTCCTTTAGCTTGGTGTAGCGTTGCTCATTTGCTTGTGCTTTTCCTACAAAAAACACAAATACAATAATTGATTAATATATCAAGTATCAAAAACACAAGCCTCAGACCTTACTCTCTGTGTCACAGAACAGTTAGCACAACTGAGAGCGTCAACACAGGCCTTTGTATGTTTGCTGGTGAATTAGACTGTAGACTATATGGTTTATTAATTCAATTCAAATGTATTTGTATAGCGCTTTTCACAATGCATATTGTTTCAAAGCAGCTTTACAGAAAGTGCATTTCAGAAATGTACATAGAAAAATACAGTTAGTTAATCATGTATTAATTTAGGGCATAACATATCGCCGGCGTTGAGTCGTCTCTTCGCAGGCTTTTAGTAGTCTCATCGCTGGTGGACTGATTAATGATTATTAGCGTTTGATTGATAGCCCTTCTGGCTCTGTTCCTCAGCTAAAGAACATCCATCTCTTATCCTTCATCTCAGCACTCTGAACAGCCCTTTCATATCCTGTAACACGGCGTTATGTGGTGCTGAGGGTTCAGTCCATAAAACGTGCTGCTTCTGTATAGTGATTATAAAGGAATAACTGGCATTCTAAAAAAGCAACAGTTTTGATCCAGTTAGTGTAAATAAACCGAAAAGGAAGGAAAGATGTTTTTTTGATTTAGGAAAGAGGAACAGAGCAATGGGATGTGCGGAACCCCTAAATTAAAAAAACATCATTCCAAGACCTTTGAAGACTAACAGGGTCATTTAATAAGAACGTCTAATTTCAAATACAATATTTGAAATAAGAAAGTTCAATGTAACTTTTTCCAACAAAAATATTGTAACTCTTACTCTCGATTTCGCTCAGGCTGCGCTGCTCTTTCTCTGTGTCCTCTTTGACCCTGCGCAGGTCGTCGAGCTCCACCCTCAGGAACTCGCTCTCACCCAGCGCCTGCTGCTTCAGGTGAGTCTGCTCTGCAAGCTCCGCCTCCAGCTCGTTCACACGCCCTCGTAGTGCTTGACAAAGACGGCCACTCTGAGAAAGACCAAATGAATCATTGACATCACTTTCATTTTCACTCCTTCAAAAGTTTATGCAAGGCTGCATTTATTTGTTCAAATACAGTAAAAACAGTAATATTGTGATTTAAAGGGATAGTTTACTTTAAAATGAAAATTAGCCCATGATTTACTCGCCCTCAAGTCATCCTAGGTATATATGATCGTACTTTTAGACGAATACAATCTAGTTATATTAAAATGTCCTGGCTCTTCCAAGCTTAATAATGGCAGTGAATTGTTGTTTCTATTTTGAAGTCCATAAAAGTGCATCTATCCATTATAAAAGTGCTCCACACGGCTCCAGGGGGTTAATAAAGGCCTTCTGAAGCGAAGCGATGAGTTTGTGTAAGAAATATCAGCAGTACGTCGCATTAGTCACATAAGTTGCGCTTAGACTTAAGTGGAATCTGTATATTTGTTTGGTCGGAAGCTAGTTATTTTACTTTATAAAGTTTTAAATATGGATATTTTTCTTACACAAACGCATCGCTTCGCTTCAGAAGGCCTTTATTAACCCCCCGGAGCCGTGTGGAGTTCGTTTATGATGGATAGATGCACTTTTATGGACTTCAAAACAAAAACAGCAATTCATTGCCATTATAAAGCTTGGAAGAGTCAGGACATTTTTTATATAACTGATTGTATTCGTCTGAAAGAAGAATGTCATATACACCTAGGATGACTTGAGGTTGAGTAAATCGTGGGCTAATTTTCATTTTTGGGTGAACTATTCCTTTAAAAATAACTGTTTACTATTTTTATCTATTTTAAAATGCTGAATTTTAAGCAGCCATCACTCCAGTCTTCCTTCAGAAATCATTTTAATATACAGATTTTTTGCCCAAGAAACATTTATTATTATTATCAATGTTGAAAACAGTTGTGCTGCTCAATTCTTTTGTGGAAACTGCATTTTTTTTTAAGGTTCTCTGATGAATAGAACAGCATTCATTTAAAAGAGAAATCTTTTGTAAATTTAATATGTCCTAGCTTAAATTTTTTTTTTTTTTGGACTGAAACCACACTTTAGAATGGTATTGTGTGGGTGTATGTATAATATTACATCCTCTGCTCTCATCTCCTGCTCATTACCTCCAATCTGAAGGACTCCAGCTCCTCTTTCAGGGCCTGTAGCTCTGCTGTGAGCTGCTCAATCAAACGGTCTCTGAAGTGAGAGATACAGATTCATCATGATCTTATAAACTCTAAGAGCTCCTTATTATTATTAATTATATTCCAGTATCTTCAAGACTTACTTCTCATCTTTGCGCATGCCGTTCTGACTGAAGTTGAACGGGTCTGTGGCAGCCGAGGTGCCGAAAAAGTCGTCGAATTTGCTGTCCACAACGCTCTAATGGAGATAAATCTTTAGATGCTCACGTTTAAAGAAAGTATACATGAGAGCTTTGGATAATGAGATTGTGTGTGGTACCGGTAAAGGTGGGATGTCTGTGTCCACTAGGTCTTCTGTCTCTACTACATGTTCACTTTCAGGGGACGAAGACTCCACTGGAATCACCACCACTGGACTGATGTGCTCGGACAGGGCTGATGCCCGCAGGAAGTTTGGCGGATTCTGTAGAGAAAATGAGAACTATTATAATAAAGGAAGCCAGCTCCAGTTTGGATCCAGCCTTTGCAAGGATTTTAGATAATGCCAACACTTGCAAAGATTTCAGATGACGACAAAAAAAAAAAAAAATCCTTAAAGCTAATGGAATCTGTTTTCAAACAGGTTTTCCCAAAACATTTCCCTCATATGCTATTGGTCGGGAGAACTGGTTGAGCCAATGTCTGGTCTGGTCAAAATGCTTAAACAAAAAGGAGAAAAAAAACTCACTTTTTCTTTAATGTTAATTTATATCATGAGAATTGTCATGAAAATTTAAGAAAAATGTTGTTTTATAGGACCGCCCGAAAAATCCTGACGCTAGCAAAACAAGCAGGCAGATATGTAAATGAGTTACATAATTTCTTTCCACTAGCTGTATTTTTGGACTCGGGTCAGGCAGAAATCTGTTTGGTATGCAGGAGTCTCACCTCAGGAAGTTGTGGGATCTGAATCAGTCTCTTGAAATACTGCAGGTTACTGGAGCGATAGAACAGACTCTTCAGCCTGGAGAGAGAAAGAGAGAGAGAGAGAGAGAGAGAGAGAGAGAGAGAGATGACAAAAGATTAAAATAGTGGCAGTCTGTGTGACTCAAATCTGGATAGTGACTGACAGACTTACTTCTTAAACTGCTCCTGGAAGCGATCCCTGTGGCCCTGCAGAGTATCTGCTGGCAGACCTGGAGGACACGAGAATGCCTATCACAACAAGGAAAAGCTAAAGAAAATGACCCTCCACTAAGTACTACCCCATTAGTTACTAACTTTCTTTTTTTCCATTTCTGTTTTTATTACATTTTGTTATAATATCCAAAGAAACAACACAAAAAAACACAATTACAACTATCCCACCACAAAATATTTAATAATTAAAATAATAATAAATAACTAAATAAAAATATATGTAATAAAACATTAACAACAATTATAACAATAAATTAACATTAGAACATGACTTAAATTACAGTAGCAGTTATTAGTACAGTATCGGTTATGTTTAAGAAAGAAAAAAAGCTTTCCAGGGTGTTTCCTCAGCTATGGGCAGATTGAAAGGCGGGGTTTAGCAATGGGTCAGTTTGGTGGTTGTGTGTGTGTGTGTGTGTGTGTATTAAGAGAGAGAGAGATGTGGTTTATGGACTCACAGGAGTGGAGTTTGAAGAGCAGTTTGACGGTGTAGTCGTACAGATGACTAGAGTCCAGAATGACCTGTATAAGAGGGGCCAGACGACACTGACCCGCTGCAGTCACTGACACGGAACGAGACATATCCAGCGAGCTGAACACTGTGTTCAAACATAAACACAAAATAATAATAGGGGCAATATAAACATATTTTCAAAACACTCTAAACAGCCTCAGTTCTCAATTGGTAAGTTACATTCTTTCTTTTTATGAATCCCTCATTCACTCCATTCCCATTTTTTTTTTTCAGTTTATCCCTTTCATTGCCCATTTCCTCATTCACATTCATCCCCATGCTCCCTCCCTCCCTCCGTCTCTCTGGTGATCAGTGATGCAGGCTCCTGTGAGATCCCGTCTTCTCAGCACACAGAGGTGTGGTTTCCTGTGCCAGGGAGCTGTGTTTCAGCCAACAACACTCTCTAATGCTTACAGCACAGACAAACTGACATCTAGATTTTACTGCATTTTCAGCAGATATATCTATACCAATAGAGATGTCACTTGTTTTTTTACTCTGGAATGCACATTTTTAGTGTGATCTGAGATTTTTTATTGCTCACTTCACATGTTATTCAAATATAATCTTGACAGAGATTTCAGAGATTGTAATTGCCTGCCTACTACCTACTTAGAAAATAGGCACAACCAAAATGACTGGCAAGTGAAAGGACTTTTCTGATGTTTAAACACTGGCACTCCACCTTAAACTTACCGCCGAGGAATAGATTCAGCTCACACTCCAAGTAATCAAACATCTCCACCGTTAACTGGAAGCTACACGTGTTGAGAGGAAAAAAAAACATGATTAAGTCCCATTCCACAAACAGACAGAGCAATTTTGGAGCTTTATTTAAAAAAAAAAAACAGACTGAGAAAACACAAAGCTTGTGAGAAACAAAGCAATACTCACAAATTATTGACGTCGTTCTCACCCGCCTCATCAAGCTGTCTGTTTGACATCTGAAGGTTGCCTGGGAAACGAGGATTCTGGGAAAGCAAGTGGGTTAGGTATAATATTTGTGAGAGTCTGACAGCATAGAGTTTTTTTAAAAATACCCATGAAATGGCTTGACAACTGCAAATTTATTTCCTGCATTCCTGTATTGACATTTCATATGACACAGGAAGCTGGTGCAAAACATATATATATATATATATATATATATATGATATACATGACATATATGTGTGTGTGTGTGTGTGTGTGTATATATATATATATATATATATATATATATATACACACACACAAACATACACTGCACGCCCAAAAAAAGTCGCTGTTTGGATTTAAATAGGCAAAATGCTTAAGAGTCTATGTTTTGATCATTATTGCAGTTATTATTATGTTTCTAGTATGTTAAATGTTTGGCAACAGTTCTTCTAACCCTAATTGATGTAGTGTGTAGCTTTTCATTTCTTAAACAACCATGTAGGAAGACACATCATGGCCATATTCCAGGATGACAATGTCAAGATTCCTTTGGCTCAAATTGTGAAAATGGTTGGGAGGGAGTATGAAGAATCATTTTTACACAAATTAATCATCACCTCTGAGTCCAGACCTTAAATTCCTTTGAAAGTATTTGGGATGTGCTGGAGGAGACTTTACAGAGTGCTCGACTCTTGCATTGTCATTACAAGATCTTAACCAAAAATGTATGCACTCTTGGTGGAAAGAAATGTTGTGATGTTATTTCCATCAAGAGAAAAACATATAACATGCTAGAAACATAATAATCACTGCAATAATGATCCAATCATATACTCTTAAGCATTTGTCTATTTAAATCAAAACAGCAACTCATATATATTTTTTTTTTCTTGGGGGGGGGTGCTCAGTCACTCACTTTGATGTGAAACTCCATTTTGGTAATGAGCAGTTTGAGGTAGATGCTGCACAACTTCCCATAGCCTTCACTCAGATGACCCTAAGGAGAGAGAACGAAGTGTGAGGGCAAGAAAAACACTGAATGCTTTAAAAGGAAATTATGTTGTTTCCTTTCCAAAGCAGCAGTAGCTTCTAATGAGTCCTTTTGTCATTCTCAGCTCATCAGCTCACTTCACAATTCAAAGTATGAGTCATTAGGGGCAGATTAAGGTCAGGTTGTGTATGCGTTCACATGTTTGGGGTACACCCATAAAAGGGCCAGCTGCATATCAAGATAATGATCTCATTCTTTCACTTCCTGTTCCCTTCACCACTTACTGTGACATCATAACAGGAAGGGGGCAGACTTGTTCACAGGAAATGTTTCTCCTGAGTCTAATCCTGTGGCATGTTATCAGCGAATACTCAAAGGGATGCAAATAAAGGTCTTTCCAATAAACAAAAGATGCAACTCAGCATGTTCCATCTGACACTTCCTGTTGGCTGGCGATACACAGTTGATCGTAAACTGCATCAGAAACACTTATATTGCTGACAATCAAGATAAAAATCAACAAGAAACGGCTGCACAATGAATCTCAAAGCTGCTCGGTTCGCAGTAAACGCAGCTCCATGAACTCCATCTCTGCATCTGGGACACTTATAATGTGCATTTTGGAAAGCAACATACTTCAACTATCTTCCCAAATTTCCCTATAAACCAGCTGTTGTCAACAAAAGAGAAGCTTTAAGAGCTCCCTGCGATTGTTCTGACAAATAATGTATTAAAGCTATTATAATTACTACTACTACTATTATAGTATTTTCTTAAATATTAAATTGTTATTTTACAGTGAACTATTACACTAGTAATATATCTTATTTTAATATTTTTATTTAGTAATATAACAATATTATTATTATATATACATTGATCTATAAATCACACATTTTTGTGCATCCCTAAAAACAAGCACAGGAAAACCAAAAAAAAAAAAAAAATATCCGAAAAATTGCATTTAGATTTCCCCCCAAATCGTGCAGCCCTACACTGTATATCTGTAATGTGACTTTAATATCTGTATATATTTTATGTGTATACAGACCTATTTATTCTATGTGAGAGAAAAACTAAACTGCTTAAATATACAGTATATTGGATTAAACCGAAAGAAATAACCAAAATATGATTTGGCATATATTGTCAGATCTATTAGATATATAAACATGAAGTGAGCTTCACAAGATATCAGGGACGTTTGACTGGTACCTCATAACAAGCAAAGCTCTGTAAGCATTCCTCCAGAGTGACAAACACATGCTCACATCATCGTTAGCTAATTACAGATCATCTCTGTGCTGAGGTTAGTGTGTCTGACTCATACACAGAATGCCAAGCTATTCAGCTGTCAATCAGCAATAACCAAATAGCTTGCTGACTGACACACTGACAGTTTCCACAATGAGATGGAAACTAAAGGGAGCTCGACAAGGCCACATTCAATAATGACAGAGTTATATTGAGCGAGCCTCTGTTTTAGTTGGAAATCATTAAAACCAGCAGCCACAACTTGTGTTCGTGCACTTACCCACATCCTGCTCATGTCGTTCAGGTCAGCCTTGTGCCGCATGGAGTCCTTAATGACCTGAGGTGACAAAGAGAGAGACAGGAAGAGTTGAGACAGCATTTCAAAAAAAAAAAAAAAAAAAACTAAGATATTACCCACAAATGAGACAACTCAAAATCAAATCAAATAAAAAATAGATACCCTGAAATTACCCTCAAATTAGATACCTAAAATAAAAGCAAAAAAAGTTTTAAATTTCTTCAAGTTTAAAATAAAAAAAGATACCTCCTCATGATATTACCCTAAAATAACATAAATAAATTAAAATAAATAAATACCAATCTGTTATTGGTAATGCCAATAACCTCAAAGTGGCCGGACATTGACAGATTAATTTGTCTGTCCGACATATTGGTACCTCAGATCTTAACCAAGGTACCAATATATCTTATTTTACCAGGTTTACCAGAAGTCACTCGGGAAAATCAGCATATTCCGTCTGGGCCTACTAATATGTCACTGAATTGGAATACTTCATATACCAGCTACCAGATCTCCTTATGTGAAATGTAAGGGAGACTTGACTTACAATTGATTCCAATAAGAGTTTGAAGTTAGCACGTTGCAAAGCTAATCTAATACAAATGCATAGTAAAATACTGTCTTTTTAATAAGACTGAACTATTTTTATTAATAGTTCTCAGTATGTAAAATAAATATCACAATGTGTTGTTTTGGTGCTGACAGCTCCGCATAGGTTATTTGCAGTGCTGCTTTGAAATGGTCACATAATGTTGCTGCCAACCTTTTTGAACAGACTTTGAATCAGGGGTGTGCCTATGATGCCTCTAAGTACACAGCTGATTACATTTTTTGTAACAGAGCTCAATGTGGGATAGTTCAATATGGATTACACACACATCACGTGTCACTGATGCATGCTGCGTTTACTCTGGGGAGCTGTTTTGAGTGTGTGAGAAAAATAAATTAATCAAAGGGAGAAGCAGATATCAAGAGACTGAGAGAAAGTGAGAGTGAGGTGGAATTAGACGTGCAAGACATACTATGGCTGTATGTACTCACGCTTGGATGGCCGTCCCTCAGCAGCTTGTGGAAGACGTGGCAAAATTTCCAGCAGAGCACCGCATTGCTGGAAAGGGGCAGGCGGTTAACTGCAAGCCAGAATGTGTGAGCCCCTTTCTCATGATGCGTGCCCAATATGCACGGTGAAGACAGCAGTCAAGGACAAAAATGAGGGACACGCTGTTTAAAGTCTGCATCTCTGAATCATCTTAATCCAGAAAGATGCTTCAAAATCAGATGCTGATAATGGCAGAATGATTGGTCTGTCCAGTGTACTGGTATGGTACCAAGTATCTTAGTTTAAGCCAAGGTATCTAAAAAGGTAGGGAGTTCATTGTCAAAAAAATAAAATAAAATAATTTGTTATATATATATATATATATATTAGGGCTGTCAATCGATTAAAAATTTTAATCTAATTAATTACATACTCTGTAATTAATTAATCTAAATTAATCGCATACACAATCCTACAATGTTTACATGGTACAATTTCTGGTAAGCTACGTTTTTATTATTATTGCTTGACACAAATTTCACGATTTCAATATAATTTAATTCTTGTGATTTGATGCAATATTGACTCATTTGGTACACAAGATAGGCATTCATTTTTCTCAAGAAAAAAAAAATCTCACCCAATGCTGTAAAAATACAGAGAGCCATATCAGCTGGAAGTATTTAAGGTTAAAAATAGCTGAAATTAAATATAATGCGTGTTTATTACAAATAACAACTTTGATATAAGTAAAAATATAATACATATGTAATATAGTAGTAGGCTACATACATTTAGAAAAATACTCTCTATAGCTCTTTTTTTATAGCCAACTATAACGTGCTATATGGTCATGCAATGGCTTTCCTGAGGTAACTTAGGCTAAATGTTATGTGACATAATTGTTCTCCAGCTGTTTTATTGACCTCTTTTCGCGGTTGAAAAACACTGATTGATCGAGGAATATACATTTCGGTAAGTTTTAGGCTGCCCTACTTTATCTTTCAACATTGGTCATTCGTGTTTATTTACTATTAGCTAGAGATGATCGGTTCACGTGCCGCTATGGGATCTGTCATGACTCATGTCACATTTACAAGCGCCAAAACGGTATTTATTGTTTGATTTTCGTAATAAAATTGACAGAATCTTAGAGCTGAGATTTTTTTAAATATCATAAGTAACGTGCTCTGTCTTGTCTGTTTCCGTGTCCTCTCTTTGGTGCGCGATATTTCTGTGCGTGAGAAAATGGTTGTGTGACGTGAGAGCGCGTGAAAAGTTACAACACACACACACACAAGCGCGCTTTCTCTCAGACACACTCACCGACTCACGCACACACTCCTGGATGCTTTGCATTGATGTGGTACAGTTGACGAACTCCGTTTGTTATAAGTAAATGTTCCAAACAATGATCCAAGCAGCACGTTCTTGTCTCCCTCATTCTTTTTACACGAATGGTGGCTACGGCTAGAACGGCTCCGCAAAGGTCAAAATGGATCAATGGATTAATCTGCGTTATTTTTTTTAACGCGTTATTTCTTCTCAGATTAATTAATCGAAATTAACGCGTTATTTTGACAGCCCTAATATATATATATAGGCCTGCCAGTATTGGTACTGGTACTAGGCCTGCCAGGTATTTTGAGGTTATATATTATTAAAAAGAAATATGAATGAAACAAATAAAATAAAAGCAAGTTAGAATCCCTTAAAATGTATAAAATAAAATATCCTCAAAATAAAATAATCAAATAAAAAAATATTAAATTATGAAAAAATAAAAGCTATTTTAAAAGTTTTCCAGGTTTAAAACATTTGCATATTAATAGGTCTGTCAGGTAAACAGCAGGGCATTCAATGGACAAAATTAAATTAAATAAGGGTTATTTGGTGATGCCGATAACCAGTAGATTGCGATTTGGCTATTTTGAGGTTATCAAGTGATGCCGCCTGCTTATTCATCATAAAATAAACATCTTAAATCATCTTTTCCCCCTTACATTCCTTAATACAGTATTTCTCTTTCAGGGTAACACAGACACAAGGATATTCCTGGCATGCTTCTCTTTGACAGCAACCTCCTGTGTGTTGATGGCTTTGTTGATGCTCACTGCCTGTGGAAGAGAAAGAGAGAAGGAAAATTAATTTGGGGGATTAAAAGCAACTCATAGCAGAAGAGTGTTCCTGTGTGCTGAGGGAAACAGTGAGTTTTACTGTTTCACTGGAGCCTTATTGAGCAACTTTAACCACCGCTGTGCAACCACCACTGAATACTAATGAAGTTCAGCTCAAGGAGGGTTTAACAGGCAGCATGACCTAAAACACTATTACAGCTTGGGCTACATCCTCCTCGTTTATGATTCATCTTTCAACCATATATACCATGCTCATTTTGTTGAGAGCTCTGAACTAAGCTGAAAAAACTTGAGTGAGGTGTTGAGAAAGCACTAGCCATATGTTCTCTTCATAACGTCTCTTTCCTGTTCCTCTCATATATGCCAAACCACCATCAGTTCTAGGTACCTTCACAACATAAACAGTGTTCCTGTTTAAACAAGCATCACATATTCAGTCATGGTCAGCTGAATGTAATGAACCCTTATCGGCCCATCAGATAATGCACATGGTTGCATAAGCAATTAAGGTGTGGCTGTTGAGTCTCTTAGTCTTACTTCCTCAAAATGCTAGAATCTCTTTTTATTTAGACCCGACACATACTTTAGTTCTAAAATAACAGTTCTAAAAGGCAGCACCAGTGTACTTTAATTGCAAAAGTTGTCCAAAAAGTGTTTTGAGCCAAATTCAGAAATCGCATCGCATGTCTCCGTCACCCATGATACATTGCGAATACTCAGTGAAACTAAATTATGTAAGATAGCTAAAACTATTATGAACATTTTTAAATCATGCGTGTGTGTGTGCTGTGTATTTTTATGCTTGGATCATCACTTTATCTTAGCAATATTCTAAACTACACTACCATTTAAAAGTTTGAGATTAGTACGAATTTTTTTTGGTAAAGAAATTAATACTTTGATTCAGCATGAATGCATTAAATTGATAAAGTAAGAGTAAAGACTTTTACATTGTTACAAATAAATGCTTTTCGTTTGAACCTTCTATTTATCAAAGAATCCTGGGAAAAAATGCATCATGGTTCCACGAAAACAAAACACAAAAAAAACTGTTGTCGACATTGATAATAAGAAATGTTTTTTGATCAGCAAATCAGCATATTAGAATGATTTCTGAAGGATCATGTGACTGATGGATTAATGATTCTGAAAATTCAGCTTTGCCATCACATAAATAAAATCCACTTTAAAATATATAACAAAATATTATTTCATAATATTACTGTTTTTAACTGTAAAAATTTCATACCAAACCACTTTGGAATGGCAGTGTAGGTTTGGAAACCGAGAAATATTGATGCATATACTCCAGAGCAAAAATAAACCTGAAACGTTTTTGTTAAAGAGGCCAGGGATCATCCTGACAGGAAATTCTGGCAGGGATGCTGAGAGAATGCTGTTGTGCATATAAAAGTGTCGTTGTACACACACAGCGTTCAGCCCTCATTCCCTGTGCCGGCTCCTGCTGCAGGACACACTGTTAAAGGTGACAAGGCATGGCTTTGTGTAGAAAAGATGGATCTGTGGGATGAGCATCTAATTAAGTCACCGCTGTGATCTCAAACATGATGAAAAGGATGAAGAAAAGACAGAAGGTTGTAAAAATCCTTACATGTTTCTCATGGACCAGCCCTGAGTGTGAATTACCGGTACACAATAGCCCTCAGATTCTTCTTATTTACAGGTAAAGCTTCAAATTACCCCACATCTTGTTTTGATGTCCTTCAGGGGGGATCAAGCCTTTTTTAGGCCACCCTTAACCCCCACCACACTTTTTCTCGCTTTCATCACGTTCGCTTTTATTCTCATGCACTGATTCGTTCACTAAGCTGAACAGCCAATCAGAGTTCTCGCTCTCAACTACGGGCCCAACTCCGCGGCCCAAAAAACCAAGACGGCGTTCGAATAGACCACACAGTAAAACGACAAGAAAAACTAAGCCGAACGATGCTCAAAAACGGCCCGACATTGCCTGACGGACGACCATCGGCTTGGTGTGTCCCGGCCTCTATGCAAAAAAAGGCACTAAAGATTTCTTTCATCCCTCTCCAACAACCAATCCAGAGCAGATAAACATAACTAAAACTGTCCATGAGCCATTAAGTCTATAAAAAAGTGATCAGTAGAAATTACGTCAACATTTTTTCATTAAATCCTTCAAATAAAAGCACTAGATACACATAGCAGCTAAAGAGTCTAAGAGAACATAATGCCAGTGTGAGGAGAGGTGTGACCTAATTTGTTCACACTGAGACTTTGTCGTCTGTGTGAATGAGTTGTGCCAGCTGCCCAGGCCTCTTGGCACTGGCGAGTGAATTTACTGGCATCCCGGACCCATCTCTCCCATCTCTCACACAGCTCAGGCGAATGATAAGATGAAGTGATAACCACTTAATAAAGTAACAGGGTTCAATGCTAGGGATTGGTTGGGCCAGTGGTTCAAATTTCTACTTGCCCTGCCAAAGTTTTCACTGAACAAATAAATAAATCAATAAAAAAGAAAAAGTTTTGTTGTTGTTCTGACCCTGTAACATTGTATTCTAATAAAAAAGCCACCAACATTGTAGCTACTGTTGAAATTTCACAATTCTCGATTGATTCCAATTTCGATACCACAGCAAAAACTACTAGCCTGACAAGTGAGTCTTCAGTAATAAACTAAGAAGTTATAACCAACAGCTCAAATAAATACAACAAAACAGAGATACAAATTTAACAAACAGTGTTTTTTAAGTTAGTATAAAAGAATTCATGTACCTTACAGAAATTGAATAATCAAATGTAAAATAACATTGCATCGTCTTCATAGTTTAAATTAAATATATATTAATTCTCATTAAAGCAACAAAAGTTGTTCAGCCAAGATCATGGAGTGATTTTCTCTGTCTTTTGTTGTTTGATTAACATTAATGACAGACAGCAGCAGGAAAATTAGGCTGAAAAGGACAATATTAGGTCACTAAGACCAGACGCACAGATCCAATATATGTTACACATGCATTTTCTTTCTCATCTGTTTAAGATCAGACATACCCAACAGTGTTTACATGAATACTCGCCAAGACAGGCATTTTGACATACTTTTGTTGTGTATTTTTTTCCATTCAAGCGCAAGACGACGTGAAAGAGAATTGAGTTCTCTTTCACATCTTCTTGCTTTTAAATCAGCATGTTTAAAAAAGGCTTGAATGTTGAAATTGAGTTTATTTCCTCCAATTCTGAGAAAAGTCAGAATTGTGAGATAAAAGGTTTTTTTATTCTTTATTCATTGGCAGAAACAAGCTTCCATGGTATCTCCCAATAATATATCTGATATCTAAAAGCTTAGTTTTATCATCAAAAGCTCTGTGGTTTTTATTGTGGGTTGATCATATTTTAACGTGTGTGGATAATTAAGTAGACTTAAGTTGCTTCAGTGCAGTAAGTGTTATTTTAGTATTAATAAATACTAAACATTAGTAGTACATAAAACATTTGATATGGAAATATTAATAACAATATAAAATTTTAACTTGTGTTTACTTGTATTTGATATTATATTAATACTAAATTTACAGAATAATGACACGTACCACGACCTGAAGAGGGAAGTTTTTACAATTATACTGAAAAGGAGTCGGACGTTTAATCAGACGACAGAATGCATGTAGAAGATTGTGTACATATTTTTCAAATTTTGATCATGTTGATTATTTAGAGGCCTTATAAATCTACATATCAAATACGATACGGTAGGCTCAATAGGGGTCGAAAGGATAGTTCACCCAAAAATAAAATTGTCAATTTACTCATCCTCATGCCATTCTGTATTACTTTCTTTTTTCATTATAAGTGGAAAGAAGAAAAACAGTAATTTGTGGACTCATTTACAATTATATACACACCCAGATTTGCATTCAGAAATGTCTCTTCATCCAACACAACGATGCAACTGCTTTATTATTTCTTCTCTTGTAACCATAGTGAGAACTAAATATCCTACTTTTGCATTTCAAAGCAAGCTCTTCTAACAGCTTGTTATGCCACAAGTAGTTTATTCAATCCCTCGCCTACAGCAATATCAACCCATTTAGACACTTAATTACTATAGCACTATTTCTATATGGAGCTGACACAAGCTTGTTAAGCAAAGCATATGTGACGGATGATCTGCAAACATCTGCGTTGTGAACCATTCTGACATGTTGCACAGAACTGCCAAAGGCACAGTATCAATCAAATCAATAGGATCTTAGACGGGAGTAATGCACTACAGGGATATTAAGGCCAGATGTCCTCATGTGACCCATCTGCCTGGAGAGGAGACTGTAAGGAAATAGCTCTCCTCATATTGAGCTTTATCCTTTTTAACCCATGCTGGGATCTTATGAGAAATCATTAGTGGATAGCTAGATATATCAAATTGTGCAGCTGAACTTTGATATTTTGGGGGAGGGTGATAGGATGCTTGAATGTGAAGAAGTAGCAAGTATGAGTGCCCAGAATAAAGAAAAAGGAAATAGATTAAAAAAAGAAAAATGTCATGTGGCGCATCAAAAATATTCCTTAATACATTCCTCCTTGAATATATGCGAGTGTCCACGTCTTTATTATTATCAAAAACAATTATATAAACACTACTGTTCAAAAGTTTGGTGCGAGCAGGATTTTAGTTTTTTTTAAAGAAATTTTTATTTTTATTTTAATTGACCAAAGAACACATTTGTGTTACAAAATGTTACAAAGATTTGTATTTTAAATAGAAGTCCTTGCTCCTATTATATTAAAAGCTGTTCTTTCTATTCATCAAAGAAAGAATCCTGCAAAAAATGCATGACGGTTTCCACAAAAGCATTAAGCAGCACAACTTTTTTTCAACATTGATTATAAGAAATGTTTCTTGAGCAGCAAATCAGTGTATTAGAATGATTTCTGAGGATCATGTGACACTGAAGACTAGAGTAATGATGCTGAAAATTCAGCTTTGCCATCAGGAATATAGAAATATATCTAATGTTGTTATGTCAGTCAGGTGAATGTCCTTAAACACTAAATCAAAGAAATATCATTCTGTTCTTGTAAAAAAAATTAAAAAATCTCTTGGCCATCTTGAACAGCACGAAGAATGACAAAAGCTTGATTGTGCAGCCGCAGCATGTTAAAATATTTAATTCTTATTGATCGATTAGAGTTATTAATAGTTATTTATAGTTTGTTAATTATCATATATCATATCCCCCCTCAAATCGAGCCTTGGATCTAGGGAAAAAAAATCATCATTAGCTTTTTCCTTCCACTTATTTTTATGCAAATTTTGAGATATTGCATTAAAAAAAACTTATGACAGCGTTTCTTGAGTTTCATCTGCACTCTGAGACGCAAGTCATTTATGAAGTAGGAAAAAAGAGCCACAGTTGCTTCCATTATTGCAGCAACTTCCATTTTTAATACAGATATTTTACACCAATTTCCCAGGAAATGACAATTTTGTTCTCCTGAACACATGAAAACGCTGCTTTATTTGCAAATGTTTTATGAGACATTTCGATTTGGTGCAAAAGTTAAATTCTCAGCTCTGGATGGAAACATAGCTATTGACCCATAGTCAAATCCGGATGCTAAGGGTGGACCGGTCATCAAATTGTGGTCATGTTCTTTATGGTCTATAGTTTCAGAGGTAGTTTCACAGGGGTCTTCTGAAGTCTTTTCTTTATCTTGGATCACCCTAACTTTCCCATATCTATCCACTTTACTGAAGAATGCAGACTCTACCCACAGTCCTCTAAAGGGCATTGCAGCCAACCCAAACAACTTTCCCAGCTTCCCATTTTGGGTAATCTCCCTACTTTGAAGGGGTTCAGAGAATAGGCTGGCCGTTTAAAGTGCACCATCTTTTGAAGAAGCACTGCTGACATAGGTATTGGTCTGCGGTTTCTCTTCAGCTTTTTCTGAGGCGTCATGTAAAAGTTGAAAGAACTAAAAATACCTCTCAACTTCCTGAGCTGGTCCTCTGTTCTCAAGATCAGGTCTGAACACCCTGAAATACCAAAACTCTCTCACCCACTATAAGAAAATACACACGCTTCTCCTTTCTTGCCATGTTGATGAGTGTGTGATTGACGCTCACACTTAGCCACCAGTGTTTTTCAGCTAACGCAGTCTCCTGCAAACAACTCCACCCCTTTTAAAGGTCACTGAAGTGAAAGGCTGTGTGTGTTGCGTTACGAAAATACTTTTTCTTCCCTTTTAAAGACAATTTTTAAATTTTACTTTATGACTCAAACTTCCTCTCGCAGGGAACACTCAGTACACACCTAGTTAGGACTCTGGAGTGGAAAAATCACACTGAACAACCCTGACTGCACTCGCTTCAGTTTTGCACCAATGTAAAGGGGTAGTTGATATGACCTTAACCAGTTTTTTATTAAAGACCCACTCTGATGAAAATAATGTTTTTCTAGGTGTTAACATGTTCTTGTGGCATTTGTCTGATGTTAGAGGACATATCTTGAGAAAAATAAGCTCAAAGTTGTATTTCTGAGTATTTCTACATTCAAATGGCTGTGAATCAGTAGCAGACGCTAAAATGCCGGCTAAAATAGACTGGAGTTGTGACGTAGTAACTCCACTGGGCGTCTCCACACGCGACGTCTTGGAGTGAAATAATGATCGGTGATCGGTGATAACTTTGATTAACTTCGGATAATAATAATTAACGTGTATATAATACTATTGCCCCACCGGGATTGGGGTTGTAAGCTAGCGGGAGAGACAGAGCTCTCAGCAACGGGCAGGGGGAGGGTCGTCTCCGTGCCAACGGCTCCGCCCACAACGCAGAGACGAATTGCTAATGAGCTACTGCCGCTCTGCTGAAGCGAAGTCCCAGAAAACGGCACAGGTTTTGTGATTTTGGCTAAAAATGGCATAATCATAATTTAAAGACCACTGGGAATGTTTAAAAATAGCTCAAAATATGATCGGAGTGGGACTTTAAGCAGCAATACTTGACCAGTTGAACTGATTTTCAGGTCTGCAGTTATGAGGGTATAATTTTCTAACACACAGTGCGTCATCCAGCTGTCAAAATACTTAAATAAAAACATTGAATTTGAATACATTTTTACTCTGACCAAACAGCTGCTAATTACAAAAGCAAATCTACATCAAATGCAAAAGGATACTCAATTAATGCATTGAATATGGAATATTTCAATAACCGCCTTAAAATATTTCGCAATATACGATTATGTTATAATATAATATCCGCCCCTTCACTTGCAAGAGACAACACTGCCGACATACACTGTAAACACACATCAATGTAGAGTTTGGCTGCACTTTATTTAATGATTACCTGCAATTCAGATAGTTTAATTTAATGATTGAAACGTTAAAGGTTTTACTTTGGTTAGTTAGAGCTGTTGAATACAATTGAAACAGAACAGAACTTAATTTGGTGATTGTAAGAATGATAAATGCATGTTGATGTCACATAGCAATGTGCTTATTTTTTTCATAAAGTTCGATGTTTCTCTTTCTTTTTGGCGTTATCATCGGAGTAGACATTTCATGATGACGAGTATAATTAATTTCCTCAATTATAATGTGTATTGCTGTTTTTAAACGTGTATTCAAGCTATAATGTATTTGTCTAAAATCAGGGATTAAAAACGAATTGGTTCGTTCTGCATGAGAAAAAAAATTGTTTTTTGTTGTTGTTTTTTACTGGTTAGAGTTAGCAATAGATAAATAAAAAATGTTAACGTTGGCGCAAGCTGGCCCTAGGTATTGCAATATCTTATTTTATTCTTGCTCATTTCTCCTATTTTTACATTTAGATTACCTTTGCCATGCATCATCTAACACTCACTTAGGGTGTATTCACACCTGTCTTGTTTGTTCTGATTGAATCGAACTCAGGTTAGTTTCCCCCCTTGGTGCGAATCTTTTGGGCAATCACACTCGGATGCGGACCAAAAAACAAACTCTGTTACGGTTCGAATTTCTGTCCAAATACCCTAGAAAATATTTAATTCATGTTATTGCATGTGAATAAATACGTGTATGGTAACTATGGGGATATGTGAGTATATTTGTATTTTTTTCCGATATTGACGATGACGATGACGATTGACGATGATCGTCATGATACTTGCGAGATATCGTCGATATACGATAATATCGTCATATCTCCCAAACCTAAATGCAACGTCATCAATAATGCAATAAATCAACAACACTTGTCTTTGAGACAGCAAATACGAATACATGACAGTGACTAGGCTATATCTGCAGAAACAGTGAACCAGAAGCTTTTTACAAAATCCAAAAATCACATTTGATTGAGGGCCACGGTGCGAATATCGATATATTCACTATTATATGAAAATATACATTTTTCAAATCAAATTTATTTATATTCTCTGCATTTCAATGAAAAAATAAAATAAAATATTAACACAATTTTTTTAAATTAAGATATTGCATTTTTTTCTATTCCAAATTCAATGGTTCAGTTACCATGGAATGCATGAACTGATCAAATGTATGCACATTATTGTAAGTTACTTTGGATAAAATCATCTGCCAAATGCAGAAGTTACAAAAATAAATTAAGATGGTGACTAAAAACTGCTAAAAAATTATTATTTTTTTAAAAGAAATGCATCAAGTCTCAGGTCCTTTTTTGTCACCAACTAAACACACCTGAGATGGACAAGTGGAGTTTCTTAAGGGCCTCACAGTCCTTTTGGTTTAGGCCAAAAAAACTGAAGAGCTGTAACAGCAGCACTATTGAAAGAAACCTTGTGTTTTATGAGCTTGCTAACAAGATGCCTTCTGAGGCCACATCAAAACCTCGGTAAACCCAGAAGACACAGATCAAATCCAATCACTGCTCCTGCTTCTCTGCAAATTACATCAATCATAGACTTTCTATAAAGCTTGATTGAGCCTCGTCGTGGCCTGCACAAACACACACACACACACACAAAAATCTCCAGTGAGGATCCCTGGACCCCACTCAAGTAAAAACATGTTTTCATAGCATTGTCAAGCAGAGCATGACATGAGGGATTTCAGAACAAGCAGATATCACACATACAATGTTGATAGCAGGTTGGGAGTCAAAGCAGAAAGGGGGATGCGGCGATTCAAGTCAAAACAGTGAATCGTGTGTCCAAAAAAGGTACAGATACTGTCTCAGATCCTACAAGAATCAAAAGAGCCACTCAAGGCAAAATCCAACATTTAAGTCCAACCGAGTTGTGTGACCCTCAAACCCCAAAGTTTGTATTAGCAGCACATTTAAAAGGACAGTTCACCAAAAAAGACTGTCATCACTTATGCAATGTAACAAACCTCTATGACTTGCTTTCTTCTGCGAAACACAAAAGATGATCTTAGGAAGAAGAATATTAAGGGCTGGTAGTCTCAAAGTCTCAGTCACCATTTACATTCATTGAGTATTTTTTCATACAACGAAGTGAATGGCAACTCATTCTATCTAGCATCTAGCATCTGAAATAGTAATACAGGCATATGAGGGTAAGTAAATGATGACAGAATTAGTATTTTGGGTTGAACTAACCGACGTATTCCATTTAAGTAACGTTAGATAAAAACGGACCGTGCGTTCCTGTTGACTAAACGTTCAGACATTAACTTAGTGGTCCATTTAAACGCAATTTCTCACGGACAAGACATATTAGCACACTCGCTGTGACTTCCTAAAATCCTGGAATGTTTTGGGAAATAGTTAAAGAGCCCAAAAATGGCTAAAATGTGCAGACTATTTCGCGAGACCGCTGCAACGTAACGGTCCAAGGAGTGGACGCTCGCAACGGTAAAGGTAAACAAACACAGGGCTGGTACTCCAAATCATAAAATCCTCGATACAAAACAACCCCGCGAACAGGCAAGCGCGAATCCCTCCCCACCCCCAAAAACGTGTAGATGCACAACACCCGCTAAACATCAACATCGACCAACCACCTACCATTTTATTCGAGTCCATAGTTCAAACGGGGTTATGGAAGGGAAGGTGAACCGTTTCCCTGCTCGGGAATCAAAAGCAGACTGCGAATCCGCTGAGGGAGGCGGAGGGAGCAGGAACGGTCCGCTAACTCAACATGTGTCCGGTTCAGTATCGAACAGTCTCTCTCTCCTTTTCTTTCCCGTTCTCGTATTTCCCCCTCGCGCGCTGAAGATCCGATTGGCAGATGGCTGGACTCTCAAGAACGCTCTGGAAAAGCCACTGCCTGCCTAAAGAGCGTGTGTCATAAACGTTAAACGGAAACGCTAGACGATGGGCTAAATATTATGTGACATGTACGGACCACAAAACACAGATTGTAATGCTAAAGGAGGAGTTCTTCATACACTGATTTCATTTGCCACAGCTTTTGACTTAAAAGGACCAAAAGGACAGAGAGAGAGCGAGCGAGAGAGAGCAAAATTCTGTCAAACGTTACATCACTAAAAAGAAACAGAAGTGGACATGTTTGTATCGCAAGACTGATGCAAGGTCTTACACATACCGAGACAAAAAAAATGTCTCCTTTCAGAAGGAATTTAGACTCCACTAAAACTCAACTGCAATAATGCAAAAGACCCACTGCAAGCATAGTGCGTTATGCCATCTACACATTTACAGATGCATTATCTAGAACGGTTTGCCTAAGGGAGTTGAATTTGATATAGGTTTGTTATCATCGATATGCAGGATATATGACGTGATTGATGACATTCCAGTTAAACACTCCTGCACATGATGACGTGTGTAATGTTGATGAATGGCGCCCTCATCTGGTTACTTTAGATGCTCAGGTAAAGCAGCATGTCAATGAGCAGCTTCATACATCATTTTTACATTCATGTGCTCTTTAAACAGGAGAGCTAAACACAAAGGGTTTTAATTAAGTATAGTGAGAACATAAATATGTAAGAACATAAATAATAAATCATTAGGCATTTATTAGAAAATTGGTCAGTACATAAAACTTGCTAGCTGTTGATACTTTATGGTAGTAGTAGTATAGTTTTATTTAATGCCATTGCAGATGCTGACATGGCATTAAATAAAAATATTACATACAAAAAAAAAATTACATACAAGAGTTACATAAATAAAATAAACAAATAAAAAATTAAATAAATTACAAATTAGTAGCTACAAAAAATTAAATAAATTACAAATTAGTAGCTACAAATAAAAACCAAGCAAACAGAAAAAACACAACAATTAATATTATAAAGTTAAAAATTCTAAAACCCTTTCTGGTAAAAATCTTACTAAACAAGCTCCCTCCTGAAGTGAGCTTACTTCATAAAAATGTTTTTTTACTTGCATTTGCCTTTAAGCAGAAATTTGTCAATCTTTTACATGACATCCGGTGAACACAACTTGAGATTAAAAGTCTGTTTGAGATTTCAGGATGGATTTCAGGTAATTAAGTGATACTTTATAAATGACAAGCAAAAATAGTCTTTTTACCACAGAACTTGTGTAAATTCTGTTTGCTAAATGATATGCATTTAATTGAAGATGACCTAATGTTCCCATGGCCCAATTCAACTGAAATAAATATAATTTAGCATATATAAAAACCATGTCAAACATTATAAAATAATTGAAATAAAATAAAAAACCCATAAGAGCACAATCAGATGTATATTAGAATACTGTTCAAAAGGGTCCGTAAGTCTTTTTTTAAAGAAATGAATACCTTTATGTATAAGGACACATTTAATTGATTAAAGTGACAGTAAAGACAGTAATTAAATGCTGTTCTTGTAGGCCATCTATTCAACAAAGAATCCTGGGAAAAAAAATGTATCACAAAATGTTTCTACACCAAGAATGATTTCTGAAGGCTCATGCGAGTAGCAATTGTAAAATAGCATTACAACTTAATTCTCATTTTATGTATTTTAAAGTGTAATTTATTCATGTGATGGCAAAGCTGCATTTTCAATCAGCTTTGCCATCACAGGAATAAATTAAAATGACATTTTAAAATACATAATTGTAATAATATTTTACGATATGTTACTGTATATAAATGCCGCCTTGGCATAAGACATTTCTTTTAAAAAAATCTTACCAACCCCAAACTTTTGAGATATACAACATTTGTGGATATACAACGGTTGTGTATATCCATATAATATGCTAGAACATTATATATCTATTATATTCTCAGAGTTTCTGTTCTCTAACTTGCATAAATCCCCAATATAAAATCTATTGCAACAAAAGCAATTGTTTAGAGAGACATCCAAAAAAGGTACAAGATCAGTTGATCTGGACATGATACCAGTCAATGTTTACCCAAATCACTCATGGAGGAAAAATGGGGAGGGGGGGTCCAAACAAAGCATGCTCTTTAAATGGCAATCACTTCCTGGTACCGTGTGGTAGGCCCATCGGGACAGTTTACACTGCTGTGCCTTATTGGTCAAGCATATTCAAGCCAGAGAGACGCTACAACAGTGTAGTGTGACTGCCAATGAGTCACTGCCCACACACTGTCTATGTCTGTCCATCTCGCACTGACCACAAGCCTGAAAAACCGCTAACACTCCTTGGTAAACGACAAACAATTTTCCTGCCCACTTTAGATAATGAATAAAAATATGATAACGTTAACTTACAGTGGATCTGTGTGCACTGTATCCGCCATCACTGTGTAAATGTGACCTTTGCTACTACCCACAGGATTCCCACATCTTTAGACCAAGGAATTTTCATGACTTCTCAAAGACTTCATAAAATGCAATTTCTAGCTGCTGAATTATTTTATAGACAACAATAGCAATTAAAAATGTATATTTTTATAGAAATTTCAATTACTTTAAAAGATCTTAATTTCCATAACTGGAAAAATAAAAGGGTTTTTCATAACTTTATGAAACCAGGGTCAACAAGAATATGAACAAGAATATATATACACTCACCGGCCACTTTATTAGGTACACCTGTCCAACTGCTCGTTAACACTTAATTTCTAAGCAGCCAATCACATGGTGGCAACTCAGTGCATTTAGGCATGTAGACATGGTCAAGACAATCTCCTGCAGTTCAAACCGAGCATCAGTATGGGGAAGAAAGTTGATTTGAGTGACTTTGAACGTGGCATGATTGTTGGTGCCAGAAGGGCTGGTCTGAGTATTTCAGAAACTGCTAATCTACTGGGATTTTCACGCACAACCATCTCTAGGGTTTACAGAGAATGGTCCGAAAAAGAAAAAACATCCAGTGAGCGGCAGTTCTGTGGGCGGAAATGCCTTGTTGATGCCAGAGGTCAGAGGAGAATGGCCAGACTGGTTCGAGCTGATAGAAGGGCAACAGTGACTGAAATAACCACTCGTTACAACCGAGGTATGCAGCAAAGCATTTGTGAAGCCACAACACGCACAACCTTGAGGCGGATGGGCTACAACAGCAGAAGACTCCACCGGGTACCACTCATCTCCACTACAAATAGGAAAAAGAGGCTACAATTTGCAAGAGCTCACCAAAATTGAACAGTTGAAGACTGGAAAAATGTTGCCTGGTCTGATGAGTCTCGATTTCTGTTGAGACATTCAGATGTTAGAGTCAGAATTTGGCGTAAACAGAATGAGAACATGGAACCATCATGCCTTGTTACCACTGTGCAGGCTGGTGGTGGTGGTGTAATGGTGTGGGGGATGTTTTCCTGGCACACTTTAGGCCCCTTAGTGCCAATTGGGCATCGTTTAAATGCCACGGCCTACCTGAGCATTGTTTCTGACCATGTCCATCCCTTTATGGCCACCATGTACCCATCCTCTGATGGCTACTTCCACCATGTCACAAAGCTCTAATCATTTCAAATTGGTTTCTTGAACATGACAATGAGTTCACTGTACTAAAATGGCCTCCACAGTCACCAGATCTCAACCCAATAGAGCATCTTTGGGATGTGGTGGAACGGGAGATTCGCATCATGGATGTGCAGCCGACAAATCTGCGGCAACTGTGTGATGCCATCATGTCAATATGGACCAAACTCCCTGAGGAATGCTTCCAGCACCTTGTTGAATCTATGCCACGAAGAATTGAGGCAGTTCTGAAGGCAAAAGGGGGTCCAACCCGTTACTAGCATGGGGTACCTAATAAAGTGGCCGGTGAGTGTATATATATATATATTAGTGCTGTCAAATTGCATAAGAGTTTGTGTTTACATAATATATGTGTGTATATACTAATATACATACATACATGTGTGTGTGTGTACATACAGACATATGATATATATAAATGTAATAATATACACACATATACTATATATTATGTAAATAAACTTTTATGTTAATGCCATTAACCGTGATTAATCGATTTGACAGCACAAATATGTGCATGTATATTTTCATATATTTTATACTTTATCGTATCTGTTTACTGTAAATAAGTCTGAATACAAGAAAATATATATATTTGTCTTTAAACTTTAGTAAGAGGTTCCACCATAAGAGGATCATCATATTTTTGTTTGTGATTATTTATTTATTGCAAGGTTGACCAGGGTTTGCTTGTAAAAGAAAGAAGGAAAAACATTTTTTATAATAAATAAATAAATTAGGGGGTGGATTAACAACACCAGCACAGCTCCAGGATTTCCACTGCTCCTCCTTGATAACGTTCAGAAGCAATCAGTACGGGTGGCCTATTGAGTTATTATAGGATCATCATATTTGATCATCATACTTTCCATTAAAAGTTAGGCTATGTAAAAAAAACTGTTCTGTATCTGTACACACAATTTGGTAGAGACTTAAAATAATAATCAACAATCAGCATCTAATATGACCACATTCCCTGCATTAGATGCATTAATGGTCTGTTTTAGAGTTCTCAACGGGTCGGGTCGGCCCGACAAACCCGACGGGACCCGCGGGTTCGGGCCGGGTTCGGGTCGAAAATATTTGCAAATGACTCGGGTCGGGTCGGACCTAGGGCTTAATCTTTTGAATTGTACAGTGAAAGAAAAAAAAAACATTTATTATTAATCGCTGCTGTTCACTGTAAATAAAAAGTCTGGCTGCTGCGTGCAACGTGCATCGCGACGCGAGGGCAGACCTGACGCCGCTGCGTGCACGCCTTTAGCCCGGAGAAGAAGATGGAGTTGGTGAAAAGCAGGGTTCGAATTATGATTTCATCTTTGTGGGGGTCTCTTTAAAGAAAGAAAAAAAAGTAACCCATTAACAGGCGTGGTGTATGTGATAAATAAATAGCTAAATACGGCACTTCATTATTTTGAGTTCAACGTACGTTTCTTAATAGGTGTAGAGAATATTTGGGTGGAGTTCGTTACCTCTAGGGGGGTCTGGGGGCATGCCCCCCCAGGAAGAAAATTTTTTT